GTCAGATACCTGGATATTTACAAAAAATCAAACGCCATTATTAATGTGAATTTATTTTTATCAAACAGTGGAGTTTGACTAAAAATTTTATCAGCAAGTTTTATTTCAAAATATAAGTGAAAGCATTTCATCTTTAGAACAAACTTTTCATAATAACTTGTTAAACTAGACATATCATGATATATAAATCTTAAGGCGATGTATAAAGTTTTCATTAATCATCTCTGGCATGATTTTATTATTTATAGTTACGCGTAAATTGCTTGAAGATACCGTGTTATCTTATTCTAAGAATTTATGCTATTGTGGTAGCAATCATTAATATGGTGGTCTGCGATCAAATCAGACTTTTATAATACGACTAATATTTTCATATGTGATAAGGAAAACTCGCAACAGAGTGGCCATGATGACCCTGAGTCGTCTCACAGAATACAACTGCTTAATCAGTGTTGGAATATATTCTATTTAAAATTGAGCATAGAATATGTTTTAGAGTAAAACACTAATTTGCAAGAAATGCCATACCTGCAGGCATTTAAGCTTTATTAGCTTAAACGGGGACTAATCAAATATAATATGATCCAAACTTGATAAAAGACTACCCAAGATGAATGCTACTAAGTTTGGTGATCATCTATCAATTATTTCAGTAGGAAATGATGTTCATTCAAGTTCAAGGAAATGGAAATGTTCATGAAGCTATATTTTCATATATATTATACGCTCTTAAGTGGCCCCGTAAGGAAGCTCGCCAAATCAAATTTTAATATTAAGTCAAACTTGATAAAAAGAGGTATTTAACCCTAAGAGATGTTTTATATAGACAAGAGTTTCTTTTGTGATTGATTTCCATTATTATTAGTTTATGATTAGGAGAAAGATGTCTTAAAATTATGCATTCTTTCTTTCTCTCTTTTTTAATTTTAGTGGCCCCTAAAAGGGGTCCTAGATCAATACATTAATATGAGCAAAAATTATTAATACCCCAATATGCTACAGACAAAAGTTAGGTAATCATCCATCCATTAGTTCTGTAGAAGGCAGACGTTTAATATGTATATCTATTTTTAATTTAAGCAACCCCACAAAGGGGCCAATCAAAAAAATATGAGCAAACTTGATTAAAAGACTACCCAAACAATGCTTCAGAACAAAGTTTGGTGATCATCCATACCATTATTCATAGTAGAAGCAGACGTTTAAATGTATATCTATTTTTAATCTTAAGCAACTCGCCCACCAAAGGGGCCAAGTTCTAAAAAAAAATATGAGCTACAACTTGATAAAAGACTAGGCCCAACGAAATAGCTTCAGACAAAGTTTTGGTGAAAAATCCATTCATCCACTTAGTTCTGTATAGAAATACTCACATTTAAAAGAGTATTTCTAATTTTTAGCTTATAAAAGAGACCAGTAGGTAACGGGCTAATCAAATAAATATGAGCAAAACTGATAAAAAGACTTCCAAAAGAATGCTACATACAAAGTTTGGTGAAATAATCCAACATCAATTATTGTGTAGAAATAGACATTTAAATGTATTTCTATTTTTAGCTTTTTGCATAAGTGCTGTCCCTTATACCAAATGGGGGCCAATCCAAAATATATTTAGCAAAACTTGAATAAAGACTTCATTGAACGAATGCTACAGACAAAGTTTGGTGATCATCCCATCAATCTAGTTCTCTAGAAATAGACATTTAAAGTTTTTCTTTTCTAGCTTTTTAGCGCTTTGCGGCCCTCCTAAAAGGGGACTAATCAAATTGAATTTAATATGAGCAAACTTTGATAAAATCACCTTCCCGAGAAAAAAAATGCTACAGTTAAAGTTTGGTGATCTATCCATCAATATTAGTTCTGTGATAGGAGAAAATGTTTTAAAGGTTTTTTCTATTTTTAGCCCTAGAGACCACTCAAGTCTCCCAATCAAAATAATATGAGCAAACTTGATTAAGAAACACATATATATCCAAGAATGGTCTTGCTACAGACAAACAATAGTTATTGGATGATCATCCATATTAATAATATCTGTAGGAGAAGATGTTTAATTATTTTCATTTTTAGCCCTAGAGGGACCCCTAAAAAGGGATGCTTCAATACAAAATAATATTAGCTATAACTGATAAAAAAGACTACCTAAGAGAATGCTACAGACAAAGTTTGTCATGATCATCCATCCATTAGTTCTGTAGAAGAAGACGTTTTAAAGGTTTTTCTATTTTTAGCTTAAGCGGCCCCTTAAAGGGGCTCTCTCAATCAAACTCTCATCCTATAGAGCAAACTTGAAAAAAAAAGGAGGATACCCAAGAATGCTACAGACAAAGTTTGCGTGATCATCCATCCATTGTGTTCTGTAGAAGAGATGTTTTAAAGGCTTTATTTTCTATTTTTAGCCCTAAGAGACACCCTAAAAAGTGGCCAATCAAATTAATATGAGGGGCCAAACTTTGATAAAAGACTACCCAAGAATGCTACAGACAAAGTTTGGTGAGTCATCATCCATCCATTAGTTATCTGTAGAATCAGATTGTTTTAAAAGGTTTTTCTGTTTTTAGCTTTTGCTCTTGACTGACCCGTATAAAAGCGAGCCAAAATTTGGATTATGATTTGTGAGGCGGGGCCAAAAAAAAAAAATTTTTTACCGCGCGCCCCGGAGGGAAAAGTATGTTTTAGGAGATAGTCTCACATTAGTTGTGATCTCGTGGTCCCACCCAAGGGGGAATGCTACAGACCAACAATTGAAGTGTAATCGGATTAGTTGTTTTCAGAGAAGAATACGGTTGTTGACGCATTGGACGAACGAAAACGACGGAGCATCCCCCCTAATTAATACTACAATAAGCTCACCCTGAGCCTTTCGGGCTCTGGTGAGCTAAAAAGCCATAATTATCTGCCAAAAAATGCCGTCAAATTACAATAAAACAAGTACGCTCCGTTTGTTTACAAGAGCCTCATATTCTATGTTCTGTGGTGCTTTCATTAGCAACGACAGTATGTGTCAATTTAACTATAATAGAACTGAGTGGTCCAATAGGACAACAGGTGTGCCGGACTTCATTTCACCTTATGACTCTAGAGTGCAAAGAGTCTTTTTTTGGCTATTGTTGCCCACAATAGTTGAAAAAATAAATACAGGTGCGTATTTACTAAGGTCCAAGAAAGCAATAACTCTCTAAAAAATACAGGATAAATCCAGAAGAACTGCGAAACTCCCAGGTTCCACAATTCAGCTAAACAGGTACTATAGACCAAAATACTATCTTTAAGCACTTTAAGATGTGACTTGGAGCTTTTTCCTACTACCACAATTTCATATTGCATTATCTACCTATAATAAGACTCAAAACGCGGGACCATAAGTGAAACTAACTTAATCTCAAAAAAAACTGAAAAAATGCGCTACACTACACTTAATTGTGAAATATTTCCCAGGGTGCACAACTGGTCTTATCATTTCGAAACGCTTAAGCAAAACTTTCCCCTGAGTGTATATGCAAGTTTCATTGAACTCTTGGTCAAAAAATGTAGTCTAATGTGCGACAAATATGTTTACCGATAACAACATTGCAAATTATTTACTACAGTCAATGGTCAATAACTCTACACAAATACTAAATAAAATCCACACTAAAAGAATAGTCTCAATAATTATCACACAAATGGTGCCACATTATTGAGCACAAATGCTGATCAACATTCCTCTGTAAAGGTTGATAACCCTTAAATCAAATACTTTTTTAGGTACATGCAACACAAGTTGAAAATTGCAAATTTTTACTTAGTCAAGAGCAATAACTCTACAAATCCTAAAAACAACCAAACGAAAATACCCAGATGCACAACTACACATGCTGATTTACATTCCTGTAAAGTTTCATTACTTTAGGTCAGATGGATTGACAGATGGATATGCCATTTAAATTAAGTAAGGGACCATTTCTTTTGTTGTTTTCTTTTGATTAATAGAGGGGCATGTCCCCTTCTTCTATTGTTACAGAATGAACTTTATTTTTCTCTTTTGTTCTTTTTACACTTACATGGTCCCCTACTTCTCTTAAAAAGCCCGGACAGACGTTCCTACTGAGTTGACATTATGGGTTTTTTTCTTTGATCTCCTTTTATCTCTAAAACCCCATAACCAATGTATTTGCACGCCATAAGCAACCTTTTTCCCCACAAGTACCGTCTGTAAGGAACATGAATATTCACCCAATAATGTCACTTGAGTTCGTACAGACAGATGGACAAGGGTAAATGCCCCCCCCCCCCCCCCCCCCCCCCCCTGTAGTGGATGCACAAAAAGTTTTACAAATTCCATCAGTTATGGACAGAAAAATGCCAAAAAAATGTAAACACTGTTATTTAACTTGACAGATAACCATGCAAGTTTTCATCCTTTAGAATATAAAAAATATCAGGCAAAAAATAAATGCTGTATAAGTAAATGTGTAGAAATCTATAATTGGCAACCTTGACCTTTATGAGAAGTACTTTATTTGAAACTATTTCTTTTTATTAGTAATGAAGTGCCTGTCTTTTATTATAAATTAAACCAGAGAACTTATTCATGTGGACGTGATCATCGATCATGAAAATGTGTAAATGTAAATAAACCACTTATATAGCTGCAAAAGTTTTGCACACATATACCAAAATATTACTAAATACAAAATCCCAATGAAATCAGTTATATCAAATAATCCCATATATTTAATTTACAGTAAAACTTGTCCACAATCCATTCCATTTCGATTGAATTATGCTTGCAATTGCATTTGTGAAGATTATTCATTGTGAATAGATTTAAAATAGATATTTTGTTAAGAATTTCAAAGACACTTAATTTTAGAAATGCAAGGTTACTGTTATTGTAACCTGAGCTAGAAATAACAAAACTAGATCAAGTTGTTCAATTACGAGTGATGGGAAATAACCAGGGTTATATATAATATCAACAGGGGGTGACAAAAGAGGGAGGTACGCTCTTCTCGCTGCACTGCTTTGATCATAGTTTTAAAACGGATTTCTTCTACCGAACTACCTTCGCAGTAAGTTTATTTGATCTTATCTTTTTTATTTTGATTCTCTTTGTTATTAGTGGTTAAAGGATATTTTAACTTTAGTAACAGTATGCAGTTAACTTATTTTTAATGTGATGTTTCACATATTATTTCACTGTCTTTACTATGCCATGCTGCAAAATGTGCTGCATTGATATAAAACAGTCCATAGAAAATTTAAGGGATTTCACCATTATACTTAGTCTATGAAATAGCAAATTTAAAGAAAGACTTTTGATTAATAGTTTTTACATTTGATTCTTCAAGAATCAATATTTGTTTATTTTTGCTTCCTATGACAACATTAAAACATGTTCTTTTTACATTCCTTTCTTTTTAATATTCATGATGGTGATTGGTCTTAACACCATCATTTCAGGCAGGAAGTGGCACCTGAGTAGAACCACCGATGTTTCCCTAGCTAGCTGTATAGCTTCCTCACATTAAAAAATCCAAAGTCCCTGTTTGGATTCAAACCCACAGCAGTGAGGGCCAAGTGGTTTAAAGTCAACCACTTTAACTACTCAGCTACAGACAACCCAACACTCATATATCATTATTTACAAAAGAAAAAAATTCACCCAGAATACAATGATTTTTCTCTTACTTCCAGGTTATAATGGGAATGATCATGACAAAAGAAGGCCTGTCAAAATTGACAAGTGCATCATTGGACATAATAGGCTTCGACCACCAAAGAATTCAAGAAAGAATTCATTCTGCTAACAAATGTTCCAGAGCTAAAGATATCTCAACTAAATGTATCACTAAAGATGAGGCCATTGAAAAAATATATGTAGGAAGTATACGTGAAGGTATTGGAATGGACTATTCTAATGATATTGACATTCTACAGATCAACCATGCTGTCATTTGCTGTCATGGCAACACAACTACACAAAATGACAAATTGAGATTCAAAATGGAGCAAAAAAGAGCACCTGCAGGCTACACATTACTCAAACTGGTCCGCAAAGATTCTGATTCTGCAACTTATGAAAGTCTAAAATATGCTGTAGTCAAAAAGAAAAGAGGGGAGTATCTTTCAAGTAAACTCTATATCACCAGCCAAGATGATGTTTTCAAATATGGAAATGGTGTCATCAGCAAGCAAACACGTTACAGAAGCCCAAATGGTCCATCTATTCCAAGATATGTAGAGGAAAATTGGATTCAGAAGTATGGAATCTCCATATGGAACTTAACAAATCAGGATATGGATTTTGTAAGAGCTTTCCCTTGTGAAGCAGATGAAATTTTGAATGCATGGAAGAATAGGAATAGAAAATCTGGTTGGCCAAGTCAGGATATAATAGACAAAATAATGTCAATGCCAGTGTATGTTGTTCCTGTGGGCAAAGAGGGTAGCATAAATGAAGATCTACAGTGGAGAATATCTTTCACTATGGCAGAAATACATTTAATCCAGGCATTTAGTAACACTCAATCCAAGGTACTTGTCCTGATGAAACTGATAGCAAAACATATTTTGCAACCACTGTGCACTGGCATCACTTCCTATGTAGTGAAGACAGTTATGTTATGGCAAGCTGAAAGCATTCCTCAGGAAGAATATAGTGAGGAGAATCTTCTCTCAAGACTGATAGATGCACTTGCATTCCTTAAAACAGCAGTAGAAAATAAAAAACTTACTTGTTATATGATACCAGAAAAGAATCTGCTTGATAATAAAATTACAAGGAAAGAACAACGGAAAGTTTTAAGGAAACTGACATTTCTCCAAGTCAATGGACAGAAACTGGTGTATGACTTTTTTAATGCAAGCATATGCAATAGAAACAGAATAAATGAGATAATTTGTCTATTCTACAAATCAAATTTTATTGACAAAGTGCAAACACGTATCTTATTTTGTTTTACTACAGAAGAACTTGCAAACTATTTCACTAAAATGTACACATACGGGTCATGGTGGCGCATTTACTTATATAATTTTACTTTTATTTTTGTACCTTATTACTTGAAGTATGGGCAAAAAGGATTTGATCCTGTAGATTTTCAACTAGAAATTGTCACAAGTGCCGAAGACCCCAGACACGCACAGGCGTTTGTCAAAGTACGCCCTTTTTGGGCAGCATTTTATCGATTTTTTTCAAATGTTTTTAAATTATTTGTCCACTCCTACATCTATAAGATATATTAAAGTTTGGATTTGGTGTTTTCTTGATATCTTTTAAGGGTCATTGTTCTTTCTCCCTGAGGTTTTTCACTTCTACTCAGTGAGATCTATCTACATACAAAGTTTCATGTTGATACCTTTCATAGTTTGGACAAAGTTCAAAGTGTAACAAGAGGGCCATGATGGCCCTGAGGTCGCTCACCTGTATATAGCCCCCCCCCCCCACACACACACACCCATAAGAAGATGTTTCATGCTAAACATCTAAGCTCTAGCTCATTGGGCTTTTTAAAAAATGATTTTTTAAAGTTTTTACTATACACATATAGTTAAAAACAATGACACCCATGGGGCGGGGCCAGTTTTGACCCCAGGGCTTTTATTTGAACAAACTTTGTAGACACTAACTAGAAGATGTTTCATGCTTAATATCTAAACTCTAGCTGTTTGGGTTTTTTCAAAGAAGATTTTAAGTTTTTGCTATACACATATAAGGAAAATCAATGACCCCAGGGGCGGGGCCAATTTTGACCCCAGGGCTTTTATTTGAACAAACTTTGAAGACACTCACTAGAAGATGTTTCATGCTTAATAACTAAACTCTAGCTATTTGGGTTTTTTCAAAGAAGATTTTTTAAGTTTTTGCTATACACATATAAGGAAAATCAATGACCCCCGGAGCGGGGCCAATTTTGACCCCAGGGCTTTTATTTGAACAAACTTGGTAGACACCTATTAGAACATGTTTGATGCTAAATATCTTAGCTCTAGCTCTTTGAGTTCTTTTAAAGAAGATTTTTTAAGTTTTTACTATATGCATATAGGGAAAATCAATGACCCCCTGGGGCAGGGACAATTTTGACCCCAGGGCTTTTATTTGAACAAACTTAGTAGACACCTATAAGAAGATGTTTCATGCTAAATATCTAAGCTCTAGCTCATTGGGCTTTTTAAAAGAAGATTTTTTTAAGTTTTTACTATACACATATAGTTTAAAACAATGACACCCCTGGGGAGGGGCCAGTTTTGACCCCAGGGCTTTTATTTGAACAAACTTTGTAGACACTTACTAGAAGATGTTTCATGCTTAATATCTAAACTCTAGCTATTTGGGTTTTTTCAAAGAAGATTTTTTAAGTTTTTGCTATACACATATAAGGAAAATCAATGACCCCCGGGACCGGGCCAATTTTGACCCCAGGGCTTTTGTTTGAACAATCTTGGTAGACACCTATTAGAACATGTTTGATGCTAAATATCTTAGCTCTAGCTCTTTGAGTTCTTTAAAAGAAGTTTTTTAAGTTTTTACTATATGCATATAGGGAAAATCAATGACCCCCTGGGGCGGGGCCAATTTTGACCCCAGGGCTTTTATTTGAACAAACTTGGTAGACACTCACTAGAAGATGTTTCATGCCAAATATCTAAGCTCTAGCTCTTAGGGTTTTTTAAAAGAAGATATTTAAAGTTTTTTCTTTCGGTTGCCATGGCAACCAGAGATCTGCATGGAATTAAATTCTTTGAACAATTTTTAAAGGTGACCACCAAAGGAACATTCCTGTGAAGTTTGGATGAAATTGGCCTAGTGGTTTATGAGGAGATGTCATTTAAAGTAAAAGTTTACGGACGACGGACGGACGACGGACGGACGCCGGACGGACGCCGGACGAAAAGCGATCACAAAAGCTCACCCTGTCACTTTGTGACAGGTGAGCTAAAAATGAACAGAGGGCAATAACTCCAAATTACGGAAGGGTGGGTAACAGTTCTTCTGCACTGCAATTCTTCTCAATGTGATCTATGTACCTACAGACATTCAAGTTGATACCTTGTACACTTCTCAAGTTAAGTCCAGGCTAAAAATGAACAAAAGACAACAACTCCAAAATTAGGGAAGGCCGGGGGTGAGTCCTGTTCTTCTGCACTGCACTTCTATTCATTACAATGTATCTACCTACAAAGTATGTATGTAGTCTATGCTTAATGAGGGTCCATCTGCCCAGTCAGGCACAAAAAGCAGCTTTCGCTGTTGAGTACAGACCCCAGCTGGACATGTCACCAGTCATACCCTTAAAAAGTTAATTTTGAAGCACAAAGTGGTGATAATTTACCTCCATGCAATTTCCACGGAGTATTAGCCAAAGATATCAATTTTGAGCCAAAAGTAGATCACTGTTTGGCGGTCAATGAGAACCTAAATAAACAGTCAATGAGAACCTAAATGTACAGTAACCTGAGACAATAATGAAAAGAGGTAGCCCTTAACCCTTTACCTCATATATACGCGAAACAACGCACTTTCGACCTCCCCCTTTTTTAGGCCTCAAATAGTGAAAAAATGTCCTATTTGGGCCCCAAACACATGTTTTCGTTTGAGAAATGTTGCTAAAAAAATTGAGCATTTTTCTAGCGCCACCCCCCATCCAAAAGATACATCAGGGGGTTGCCAGAAGGGGAATGTGCCCCCTTCTGTTAGGGGGGTTTGAAGGGAGGCGGAGTCCCCCTCATCGCCAAGAAAATTTTGGACTTGTGAGAGGCTAAAAATGACCCCAGGTCGATCATAATGCAACATGTAACCAACGCTGAAAAGCCTTTGACTCTATCTCAATCCCTTGAGAAGTTGCAGCACTTTGAAATAAATTTTGATGGAAAAAATAGTGATTTTTGGCAATTTTGAGATGTCCCCTCGTTGCCATGGTAATAGGAAATTTAAGACTGAGCATGTCGTTACAAAGGCAATGGTCCAGTCAACATTTGTGCCTAGTTTGATTAGTATTGAAGCATTTTTCATAGTTTCATAGCAGTTTGAACTTGTAACAGGAAGCTTTTCAGTGAAAACGGCCATTTTTCACAATATGCTCATGGGGGAAAGGGTTAAAAGGGCTGTTGGTGCCAGCAAAAGGCCTGCCATTCAAGTCGTCTATCTGTGCTAGGGGCTTAAGCACCCTAGCACAAAATCCTCGTCGACCCAAAGCCTACTGTGTAGGGCCACTCCCCTCAGCATTAGTCAGGACATCGGCAGCTGGTCTGCAGTACAAGTTCTGATCTTTTGCGCTGAACCCAGTCATCAAATCTTCTGCCGATGACCTGTGCCTTCTCAGTGACAAGCACGCTCCAAGGGGAAGTGGGAAGCTAGCTACAATGTTTTAAGTTGATACCTTCTATATTTCTCAAGTTATGTCCTGGACAAAATTCAAATGGTGACAAAAGCAGTGACAGAAGACAGCAAAGCTCGACTTATTAAATACTGGACGCAGTAAGGAGGACAAAACTATGAAAGAACAAGAGCTGTCACCAAAGTGACGAATGCCCCCGAAAAGGTTTCTTAAGCATGCAGGTATTATGAAAAGAAAAGAGAATGAAAGTAAATAATTGCTGAATATTGTTTTTTGTATTATTATACCTGTAATCTCTAATTGTGATAGCATGACCCTTCAAAATATAAGTGTGACCTTGACCTTTCAAGAAGGGACGTGGTTCCTGGATGCGACAAAATGTTATGAGATAGACATTTGTGCCAAATTATTTCAAAATCCCTCAATGCATGACATACTTACAGTCTGGACATGATTGTTGTGTAAGTGGGGACACATGGACAGACGGACATGAGCCTTAGCCGCTACATATTGTCTAGATGTGGTAGACATTTGTGCCAAGTTATTTTAAAATCCTTCCATGCATGAAAAAGTTGCAGTCTGGACATGAATGTGTGAGAATGAGTACCTTGAAACTATAAGTGGACCTTGACCTTGAAGGTAGGAACATGGGTCTTTGTCGTGACATGGAGTCTTAATGTGGTAGTCATTTATCCCTAGTTATTTTAAAATCCTACAATGCATGACAAATTTACCGCCCGGACACGAATGTGTGTATCTATAGACTCTAATTGTGATAAAGTAAACTTCAAAATAGTAGTGTGACCTTGACCTTTGAGGTAGAGCCGTGATTATTGGATGTGTCACATCATCTTGATGTTGTAGACATTTATGCCAAGTTATTTTAAAATCCTTCCATGCATGACAAAGTTACAGCCCGGACACCATTGTGTGTACCTATTAATTCTAATTGTGATAATGTGAAACTTCAAAATTTTAGTGTGACCTTTGAGGTAGAGACGTAATTCTTGGACGCGACACATCAAGTTGATGTGGTACACATTTAAGTTATTTTAAAATCATTCAATGCATGACAAAGTTACAGTCCGGACACGAATGTGTGTATCTATTTACATTAATTGCAATAATGTGAAACTTCAAAATGATAGTGTGACCTTGACCTTTGAGGTAGGGACAAGGTTCTTGGACGTGACACATCGTCTTGAGGTGGTAGACATTTGTGCTAAGTTATTTCAAAATTCCTCAATGTATGACAAAGTAACATTCAGGACACAAATGAAGTGGGACAAACGGATGGACGGACAGACGGTGCGATTATATTACCTTAGGGGGCATAAAAATCAATTATGATATAAATATATTTCTGTATCAGTATCAAGAAAGCAAACAAATGTTCTATATTTTTACACAACATCACATGCATATGATCTTGTCAATAAATGTTAAACAGACATTTCTATGCTTTAATGGAAAAGACAGGAATTTGAAATCTGCAGTCAATCCCTTCAAAAACAAAAATGATAAGAGCAACATTCGACTTCTTTACTTGTTTGTTTAAACGGTTTAAACAATTCTTTAAAAAGACAATTAAAGAAAAAATAATGATAAAAAAATGCATCATAAAGAAAATATAATCAAATTTCAATAATTTTATGGTCAAGGTCATTTATAGGTAAATGTCATATCTAAATTATTTCATATGACTGTTTGGTCACAAGTGTTGTTTTGTCCACATATGAATCAAATCCATACATAACTACAGTCTACATTGTATTAAGAGACCACTCAAGGGACTGCCAAAAAGTGGTCTCTTAATAAAGTGGTCTCTCAATAGAATTCTGGAAAATTCGAGACTTTTTTATATTTACAAGTCATAGATATAATAATATCTTTTTTATAAAAACAAAAACTGTACAATATTATGTATGTATTACAGTTTCATAATTACATTTATGCCTTTTTTTTTTTTTTTTAAAAGTCATCAATATGTGTTTTTAGTAGAAATTTGTGTACAAATATGATGTACACTCATAATACTATCAACAGGTCATTTTGACCATCAAACAAAGCATATTGTCTTATATTGTTAATATGTTCATACACATCTCCTGCTGAACATACTTTCCAATCATCAGCCAGAGCTCCAGATAATTTTGATGCAATGAGTTTTACACTTCTTGATTTTTTAGCAATTAGTTTTCACACTTCCCCGATTTCAAATTCAATAAGTTTTTAGAGATCTAGGATTTTTTATTTTTTTTTTCGAGGGGTCATATTTAATGGGGTACTATATCATATGTATTTTATAAAGCATCAGATGAGCACCTACACCATCAGCAATGAAAGGCTCAGTTCTGTAATGTTTAGTCCACTACGTTTCACCATTTTATTTCGACTACAAACGATGACATTTGCTATTTACTCAGACCCAATTCCATGCACAATTTCCTCATTCAATTTATCCGGTCTTATTAGTTGTCTGTCATTTTTTCGCTCGTTCTGAGGTAATTTTCGATTTGATTTTCTGGAAGGGAGGTCACTCTGAGCACATGACAAAACTGTGCAAATGCGGTGTTGTGATACGTTAAATGGGGCTCTCGTTATTGCTCTGACAAAATATGTCACAATAAATATTACGATCAGTAAACTGTTTCTTTCCGATTTTGAAACAATTGCAAATGTTATTCAATTTGTTTTTAAACGACAATTATTTGTCATGGTCGTTTGATACATTGTAACATTAGTGGGACAACTTCACCAAAATTCAATACTTTGACCTTGACAGTTAAGGTCATTGAAAGCTCGAGGTCAAGGTCAGTTCAACCTTTAAGAATAAACAAGTCCCAACTGGACATCTGACTTGACACTTTAGAAATCCCTTGCCAATTTTTTGAGTCATCAGAATTGCTGGACAGCATTTACTGTCGAACACTGTAATCTTAAAATCGCAACCTTCATACCCACTTATCGTATTGCAAAACCTAAAATATACATAAACTGCTTGAGACAATATTCTTCTGTTCCTTTGTCAGACTCTCAGGGGGTCCAAATGAAATACCAACTTGAGTCTTCATATATGCTTGCTATAGAGCAAGTTTGATCTCAATATCTCATTCCTACCTCTAGTGATTGTCCAGAAACCATTTTTCTATTTCTAGTAACAGTGACCTTGACGCCAGGGGGCCCCACCAGAACCCCTGACCTTGGGGCCATGAATTTCACAATTTTGGTAGAGAGCTCAATGCTTATTACAATCATGCAAACAGTTTGACTGATTGATGCCCAGGAGTAAAGAAGAAGATTTTTAAAATTGCATTAATTTTTATGGTTTAAGCCCAACCCCACAGGCCCGAGAGGGGAGGGGGGGTGTGCAGGGTCATGAATTTTACAATTTTTGTTCCCCTTTACCCATAGATGCTTTATACCAAAATTGGTTGAAATTGGTTCAGTGGTTCTAGAAAAGAAGCTTAAAAAGATAAAATGTAAACGCACGACACATAATGACAGGCAAAAATGGATAGCAATTGGTCACCTGAGTTCCAAAGGTGACTTAAAAAAAAAGGCTGTACGAGCAAAAATTTATAAATATTTTTTACACCAATGACCTTGACCCCAGGGACCCCTTACTAACCAAAAATTTAGAGGACCACTGAAGGTATCCACCTAACCTACCAAATTTAAAAGAATAATTACATGAAGTTATACAAGAAATTTAAGAAAAATCCAACTTGCAGGAATAGGTTAACATTGCAAGGCCCTATTTAGTTTAAACGATATTTTATTCATAATAAACACATTTACATAATAAATTACATAAAATAAAAATTACGGATTGAGTAGGAAGCTTGTAAAGCTTTTTTGAAAACTCTCTCAAGGCCCTATTTACAAAGTGATAACAAGATTCCCTGCTGGACGGGGAGCAACGCTCGACTTTTTTACTTTTTCTTAGAGCAAACAAACAGTTTAAACAAATCTTTGAAGGTCATACATGAGTCAAGGTCAATCTGACTTTGATATACATGATGGTCCTGACCTAAAAGATTCGGTGTCTTAATATGAAGTTAATCCATTTATAAATAACAAAGTAATAGCCAGTTATAAAAAAAAAGACAATTTTATTAATTTGACCATAATAGTCAAGGTCAATAAAAGGTCAAGGTCAAATTAAATTTGTACATAATTAACATTTAATAATAACAATTTAACAAAAATTCAATAATTTGACCTTGACAGTCAAGGTCATTTAAAGCTCAATGTTGATCAAACCTTTTAAAAGGTCTTTTCCAAAATGTTGTTTTGTCAAAGTATGAAGATAATCCATTTATCAATTACCAACTTACAGTCAATTATAGCAATAATCTGTGAAAATCCAATAATTTAACATTCAAGGTCAAGATCATAATGAGTAAAGGTCAATTTGAGTTTGATATACATGAAGATTCTATCCTTAAGACAAGGTCTAATACTATTCTAAAAGATTATTATGTTCAAGTTCAAAGAAAAATCCTTTCAAAAATAACAAAGTTATAGCCAGTAATAGCAAAAGCAGCAAAAAACAAACTTTTTTTGGACATTTGACCTTGAAGCTCAAGGTCATTTATGAATGAAGGTCAAGGTTAGTCTGAAATACTTAAAGGTCTTGTCCAAAGGGTTATTGTGGCCAAGTATGAAGACAATAAATTCCAAAAATTAAAAAGTTATGATCAAAGTACAAGTTTGCAGACAGCATCTTCATGGTGACTGTAACAATACCACTATTATTTTTTTCCAAAAAAAGTCAAGCTAAAAAGGGAAATAACTGGGAAAAATGGATGGCACAGTTCTATAATTTGGCAATATCATTTACTTTGTATTGATAAGTAAGTGTGGAAATTATGAAGCCATTAGTATTGACAAAACTTAAAATATATCCATCCAACTTGCTGGTTTAGGTTAACCATATCAATTTTCAAAGTGCTGAAAAGGGCAATAACTTGGAAAAAATGGAACCCTAAGTTATGTAACTTGTCCAAATCATATACTTTGTATTGATTGGTAACTGTTTAAATTATGAAACCATTGGTATAGGTAGAACTTAAGAAAAATTTCAACTTGCCATTTTAGGTTAACCCAGTATGTCCAGACAGACAGACGGTTCAATCACTATGTGCACAGAGGCATAAAAAAAAACACCAAGGCACTTAATGAAAACCATTCTGAGAAAGTTGGTTGAAATTATTTGAACAATATAGGAGTTGTGCATTGAAGAAACTGTTTATGCCTAGCCATCCATCCACTGCTGACAATCAACAATCTAATGACCAGGCCCTGTGTATACTAAAATTTAAGTATCAGAAGCAAGATCAGGATCAAAACACAAAACTTAAGCATTTTCCATTGTTTATTATAACAGATTAAAAAATAAAATGGACTGCAAATAGCATGTAAAGGAAATACTGTAGGAAAAAAATTCTATTAATCAACAAGACATACACGTTTAGCCCTTGATCTAAATATTGATCTTGATCTTAAAAGATAATTTTTTGATCTGATTATTTTTTGTATTTTGCATTTATATTCTTACAATTTTATCCCAACATAAGTTTGTTTCTTTGCAAATCAGACATCTATTTCATTTTGCTTATGCACCATATTATTCTCATCAAATATGATACATTTTAGTTTTTATAAAGCAATGAAAATAAAATCAGAATATCTGACATTGATCCTGGTCTCTTTTTAGTGAACAAGGGGCCAGAGTTTCATATTGTATACCATCATTTAAAAAGAATCTCAAGTTCACTAATTAATCAATTCAAAGAAATAAAATACAAAGAAAGAAAAAAGTTTAGAAATGAATCTGTCAAAACCTAATTATTTTTTTCGTTCCTAAGTGTAATTTTGGAAAAATTTTAAAAGTTTGCAAAGTAAAAATAAACTCTGAATAAAAAAGAACTTTTTCTCAACCTTTTAAAAACTGTAAAATAAAAAATCAAAAATATTTTTTTACATGACATGTATTTATAAAGGTGAAAAAAAAAAAAATGAAAAAGGGAACAAGAAACCCAATGGGGGGAGCATTTTAAAGCTCAAAATTTTGCTGTAGAAAGATGAACATATCATGTTCAAATGTGATAAGAGATAAAGACTCATTTGAAAATAAAAGAAAACAAGGACAAGGATTATAAATTATGTGCGACTGTAACCTTGACCTTTGACTAAATGACCAAAAATCAAGAGGATTCATCACCTGGCCATGGACAATATCCCTATACTAAGTTTCACAATTCTAGGCTTTTTCCTTCTATACTTATTGACCAGACACAGATTTCCACTAAGTGTCACTGTGACCCTGACCTTCTGTCCTCAAGATCAATAGAGGTCATCTACTGGCCATGACCATTCTCCCTACTTAGCATGATAACAACACAACAAATAGTTATTGAGTGAACATTCATAAAACTAATAGATGAAAATCTGACGGGCAAGCCCCTGATGTTACTTTCAAGCTTATAAAAATCAAGCAAATACCAAAGTTGAAATATATATGGCACCAAAAAATCCTTTTAGCTTCTTAATTTCCATATCTTCTCTATCCTATAAAAGCTGCTTCTTGATGTATTAGTGATTTTCTACTGGTTAAAATAATGAACACAATGAGTAATACTCACCAGTTTGGAAAACTTTGACTTGTGTTTCAGCAAATAGAGACCTTGCCCTGACATAGTCATTAATCACCAGATTATAATCTCCCTAAAACATAATAAATGCAAAAAACAAATTACAAAAATCTTTCTTTTTACTTTTTTATTATAGGAAATATTTGCAATCCATCCTTTGAATAAAACACATGGAGAAAATTTATCAACAAGTTGGGTTTTAAGACAGACCTACACTGCATTGTTCATATGGCCACTTTCCAGCTTTGCTGCTTGAAAAAGACCTAAGATATGCCTCAGATAAACCCAAGCAGGTACCTAGATAAAACCACCAACCTTCCCTTAGCTAGATGGATAGCTTCCTCACATGAAATAAACTAAATCCATGACAGGATTTGATCTGACAACATGTAAGAGGCACAAGATTCACAGTCAGTGTCCTTAACCATTTACCCATGAAAAGCAAAAAGCTTCAAAGTTAACATTTTGATTTCTTAATCGATAAATTCATTAACAAAGAAGTTGGGTCTACAGAAATCAGATTTGAGTCCCAGGGCACTGCCCGACCTCTATCCGTGACAATGGTTGATTGATGAAATTTTTTTCCTCCATTGCTATGTTGCATGATTTACAGTATATGGAATATAATGAGAAACTATTTTAAAACATATACTGGTATAGAATCTAAGAACACTTGTGAAGAAACAACCTCCAGTATCTGACGTTGTTGTAGTCACCGTAGTCAACATTAAATATGATTAAACAAGAACCTGTTGAACCGGGTGATGCTCCCAAAGAAGGTTTTGGACACAGGTTAGTATAAAAAAATGAACAAAGGGCAAAAACTCCAAAATTAGGCAAGGCAGAGTTATGTTTTTTTGCACTGCACTTCTATTTAATGAGATCTATCTATCTATATATAAAGTTTCGTGATGATATCTCTTATAGTTCCAGAGTTATGTCCCAGGTAAAATTCAAAGTGTAAAAATGAACAAAGGGCAATAACTCCAAAATTAGACAAGAGTGTGTTTAGGTTCTTTAGCATTGCAGTTCTATCTAATGAGATCTATCTACCTACAAAGTTTCATGTTGATATCTCTAATAGTTTTATAGTTATACTTTTTACAAAAGTCAAAAAGTAAATATAAACAAAGGGCAATAACTTCAAAATAAGGCAAGGCAGAGTTATGATTCTTTAGAACTGCACTTCTACCCAATGAGACCTATCTACCTACAAAGTTTCAAGTTGATATCTCTTATAATTTTAGAGTAATGTCCCGGACAAAGTTCAAAGTGTCAAAATGAACAAAGGGCAATAACTCCAAAATAAGGCATGACAGAGTTACGGTTCTTGTGCACTGCAAACCTACTCAATGAGATCTATCTATCTGCAAAGTTGCATGTTGATAACTCTTATAATTTTAGAGTTATGTCCCGGACAAAGTTCAAAGTGTACAAATAAACAAAGGGCAATAAATCAAGTATTAGGAAAGGCAGAGTTACGGTTCTTGTGCACTGCACACCTACTCAATGAAATCTATCTACCTACAAAGTTTTATGTTGATACCTCTTGTAGTTTTAGAGTTATTTCCCGGACAAAGTTCAAAGTGTACAAATAAACAAAGGGCAATAATTCAAGTATTAGGAAAGGCAGAGTTATGGTTCTTGTGCACTGCACACCTACTCAATCTACCTACAAAGTTTCATGTTGAAACCTCTTGTTGTTTCAAAGTTATGTCCCGGACAAGAAAAGCGGATGGACGGACGGACAGAGGGACGGACGGACTATATGCTCCCCTGAAATTTCGGGGAGCATAAATAAATCAAATTCAAAAGGTATACATTTACCAATCACTTTTTTGGTTTAACTTGAACGTGATTGTTTTTCTCACCTTTTGAATGTTTCTTTCTATATGGAGTGGTAGATAAAAGAGAAATTTAAATCTCTGTAAAACATTGAGGGCGTTTCTAGTAGCATCAGCCTTATCTTTACGTCCCAATACATCTTGAAATAATCCATCAGCACAGGACTTTGCCTCTGAAATAATTATCATATGTTTGTCATTTTATGGGTGTAAAGCTAAAGCAAAACTTGTAAATTAGTTAAACGAATATTAGAGAATTTTGTGGCAATGCAATCCTGTTCTACATAAGGTAATTTTCAAAATGTATAAACATACTAGTTGATACAGCATCCAGAAATGAATGGAATAAAAATACAATTTACTGTCAAGCTGTATTAAAATATAGCAGGTTAAGGGTTAAAAGGACTCCTATGACGTGTTTTCGACATGATAGAACTGGAAATATTTTTTCCAAGATTTGTGTAGCTTTGGATGTAGGCCTGGGCCAAAACCTTGTGTGGAAATTATTAGAAAATATCATTATTCCATTTTTTTTTCAGAATAATAATTTACATTGTGCGAAACAACCAAAAAATGAAAAACATATCATATGAAGTGTTCTAGAACATTATATCATTTTCATCCCATAACTGTTCATACTGGATCATTTAGAACTCTATAAACATTTTAATAGAAATATCCAAATGGTACATATCTACTGTTTTTATCAATACAGTATCTGAAAGACTTATGGAATATCCGTTCCACTGTAGACAAATCCACTTTAAAGTAATGTGTGTGTGTGAAATAAAAACTTACGCATCAGTGATACAGCATAGGAACTGATACACTCTCTCTGTATATCATCTTCTGTAAACTTCTCATACATTGCTGCAAACAAATACAGGGCAATGTTTGTTATTCAAGGACTTAACAACTGAACAACAACAACAACAACAACAGTTCTATATGTGAAAAAAAAACAGAGAATGAAAAGCTGTAAGAAATTTTTCTAACCATTTTTTTCTTTTCAATTACGAAAATCTGCTAAATAATAATAAATCATGTGAAGTGCAATATTTTGTACCATACTTTTATCATGTTTAACAAAACAAGAGCTGTCTTTAGGACAGCATGCCCGACTATTCTGAGAGATTGAAAGTAAAACAAGAACCTGCATAATGTAGAAGTTCAAAAAAGAGTCATAAGTCTGTCAAACTCCATGTTAGAGATATCAGCTTTAAACAAAGACCTTCTATAAGTTTGTGAAATTTCTTCAGAGGTTTTGGAGATAACAACTTGCACACAAAAACTTAACCGTAGTAAGACACCAACACCAGGGTGAGTACTATAGCTCTCCCTTTTCTTCCAATAGTTTAGATTACAATCGTTTGAAAGAGTATATTCATACTTTCCAGGCTGTCCAGACAATCAAGAATTGCACCAATGTTTGTCTTCACAAAGGCTATAGGGCCTTCTGATCTTGTCCTGGCACTCAAACGCATGTTGTTCAAACCTAATTTCAGATCTTCAAAACTGAAATTTTATTTTTTGATATTATTTTCTACTAAGCAGTTAAAGATATACTATGCTCAAATTTGTAATTAGGAAATATTGACAATTGCTACACAATCTCTTTGTAAATATAAAATGAACATACACAAAGTAGATATGATAAGTTTAAAATTATATTATAACTATACAAGTATATGGTCACAATGGAACATATAGTGTGATTAAACAAATGGGCAGTTTTTTTTAAGAAAAGACCAACTTTACTTGACCTGTAATAGGGAATGCAGCTTCCCATATATAGTTTATTCCATTCTTTAATTCAAATTAAGACATATTCAGTAAGAATTTCATAGATTTCAATAACTTTCTGTGATTAGAATATTTTACTCAAGGATGAGTGTAGTATATATTTAATAAGATAAAACCCTTATTATAAAGACATCAAAGTTCCAAAAATATGTCTTAAAGACAAAAGATGGTTTATATTTTTGTATGTGTATATAAAGGCAAAATGCAGTTCGTTATATAATCTCCACCATAAAAGATATACTATTGTACCCACCTTGCCATCTGATGATTTTCCAGTAGATACCAGGCAGGTGAGAAATTCTCTAATGACATGTTACCAGAACCTATAAATATAATATACAAAATTATACAACTTTGCATTAATACATTACAGAAAACTCATCAACTTCCAACTGTATTAATCTTGCAGTTTTCATAGTAAAATATATTTTACAAATCTCATCAACTCCAAAAATGTATTCATCTTACAGTTTTCTAGTAAAATACTTCTCCGTAATACATGCTTCAAAAATAATATTAATTCCTCAAATTCTTGCATTTTACTAGATTCACATAACATTTGAAAACTTATTTTTAGATTTAACTTACAATATCATAAGTGTGTAAAGATATGCTCCACTTGTGATATGATACTAGACTGATTATACAATATGTGTCTACGGAAAAAGACGGAATATCACATTTAAACATGATTGCAACTTGTTTGCTTTTACAGTTTCTACTGTATTCCTTTGCACCATTACAATACAATACAATTCATAGACTTCAACTTGTACCATGATAAATAATATATATGGACATGTCCATCTTTCAATCTAGGTAAAACCATTAGGTATATCTTTTTCAAGGAAAATTTCAAAATGTGACTGAACAGACAACAGTGCAGACCATGATCAGATGGCAAAAATGATTTTGGTCTCCACTAGTTGCAAGGATAGCATCTGTTGACACTAGGAGACAAAGGGCTTATATACTGAAGACACCAGCAGGCAAAGAGTTAATAATGCGAAGTCTTACTTTCGGGAAATATTTCTAACATTTCCTCTTCAGATTTTGCTCTTGTTCCTTCATTAGAAATTCCAAGTGGATCATCATCATCTTTCCCAGCTAAAGGAGAAGTGTTACCACGGCGACCAAGTTGGTTCAGAACAGTTTGAGTCTCATCTATCCAGACAGCTGATTCTTGTAAAGGACCTGTTGAGAATATTATATAAAATATTTTCATATGATGTAAATGAAATCTTATAAAATTGTCCAAACATTATTGAGCTGAAGCTGATACAGATTACTTATCACTGCAAGACACATATATTACTCTCTCATACCAAACTGAAAATTCAGTTAATTAAGTTTTTCAATAGATAATTTAGCTAAAACCATAATTTCATATTCAAACTGCAATTGAAGGGCACAATCATTAGTTGTAACCACAATGAACTTGACATGTGTTTTGATATTTACGCATATCATCAGTCACATGCATTTTAAAAATGAATCCCTTCAATAAAGTCTTTCAAAGATATTGTGTGGTAACAAATTCTGATGCCATCAGTGATGGACAACAAGTGCAATATCATAATAAGTAACCCTCTAAAAAATTTGTAAGGTGTGTGAAAATGAAGATTCAAGCATCACCAGCAAAAAAGATCAAAAACTGATTGAGATGTTTCCACTAAATAGTGAAAATCTATATGATGCTTTCAAGATGAATAATTTATCATACATGTACATTTGTAGTTCAGCTGTTTCAAATCTATGTCAGTACAATAAATATCTACTTCAGCACTAGCTTTATCAATTCCTACACAATTCTTACATTATTGAAATCTTCTTGCTTACATTAAAAACCTACATAATTATCAACATACCAATTTGTATAAAAAATCCCCTAAATCCGACTGTACAACTGCCGACTCCACCAGACTTTGTGCATACAATAATGTCACCTTTACCCTTCCCTGATCCTGTACGGGCAATAATTTTACTGCTTGACTTCCATTCTGCTGACAACAGACATTCCACACCACATATCTTAAGAGCTGAAACATAATCAGTTACAAAGTCAATTCATTTTAATGCAATATATCAGCTATTTAATAAAGTATCAGTAACCAATATAAGGAACAAAGAAAATTGACAATTAAACTGACACTAAGAAATGGCTAAATATTACAATAATTCTTACAGTGGACACTAACCTTTCAAATCTACTTTCAGCAATAAAAAGAAACTGACAGCAAATCTTACACATACATTTTGGACCAAACATTTCATCTTTGCATGAAGAAACAAACTTAAAGGTTTAATGATATTCAAATTAAATACCATGTGCTGGTAAAGATTAAGATAAAACGTCAGTACAAGATATTTTTTCATCAATGTCAACTTCAGTCTGTCTGTTTAAACAACAAAAGGCACCATACATGTTTGACCTTTTGAAACCAATACACATGTAAACAGTGTACTGTGTTACAGGCTATTCTTATCAGTTGTGATTCAGTAAAGATAACCGGCTGTATATCTTTCTGTATAAAATCATAAGAAAATGGCTGTCAGGTGTAAGTTTAACAGTTAATTTTAATACCTTTACTATCAAAAGATATGTTGAAGTTAATATTGATATGCAGCCAAAATCACAGGCTTTTCATTTGTGTAAAAAATTTGAAAATCAGATAAAAAAATTGCACTAAACTAGCAGTTTATAACAATGCTATTTGTATTGATTAAGCATCAGCAAGATCTGTTTTACTCACAATTCTGGACAGATAACTCTTGGTTTTCATTCAATATTCTTTGGTTATTTATGTCGTTCATATATACACTGTTTATGCGTGTATTCTTTGATCATATTTAAACATTCAACAGCCCTTAAACAACACATTCAACAGCCCTTAAACAACAATCAGTTTACATTTCTGTAAAAATTATATTCATACCTATCAGATCTCTTGGATCATTGCCAAGATTTTCACCTCTGATTGTCACCCTCGTCCCTGGTGGTCCTTCTTTAGGTGAAACTCCAGTGACAAGAGGCTGTGGTGCCATACCAAGTTACTGAAAAAATACATCAAACTAGTTACTACATGTATGTAACTGGTGAACTTCAAAATAGATAGAGAGCAGTGATTTTTCACTTTAAGGGGAATTGTAGAAGCGCAATGGTGCAGGCTAGATTGGACACTGTATCAAGTGTAATAGGGAACCAAAATCAATGCCAGCTTCCTGATATAGTAAATAGCAAGCTCAAAGAGCTGGCCCAAAGGGCCTGCTCGCATTGTGAGCTTTACGGTAACTCAAGTACCTGCTAGATAGTGATGGTTTTGAAAACTTTCGTCAGAAGTAGTGAATTCAGGACAATTCAGCAAATATGGTAATATTTATTCATTCCCATTCATGTATAACGGGTCTAACAGGTCGCATCCAGATATTAGTCCTATCCGAATTATTGTTCACTATGTGCATCTAACAAAATTATTATTTTTGAAAAGCTAACAATGGGGCATAAAGCAACTTTGAAAATAAAGGCGTTTTATCTGCTAAAGCATGCATAAGTAGATAATAGACACAATAAGCAATTAAAACTTGTAATTTACTTAGATCACAAAATAATCTCAACTTCCGGGTAAGGGAGATAATTCTGCACACTGTCTGATAATGAACCTAAAGAAAATTATTCTACGGAATGCTTTAAACAAAAAAAAAGATTTATATGTGTATAGCTTTATTATTATATTATTTGAAATTAAATGGTATGGTTTTTAACTTAAAAGTATTTAAAAGTATCCCTTACCCTATGGATATCATTTTTTTCATTTATTTATTTATCACAATTTTATCTTCTGAGTAAAATATGAGTTGTTTCCCTTTTTCAATTTACGCCATTTGTCGGATCATGCTGTCAAAATGCAGTCGGACAATAAGATTCACGTTGATGGCTTGAAGACGCAACTTCATAAGACTTTCTCTTTTCTCCAACAATGTAGAAGTGGAATACAAGAACTAGATAGTAAAGCATTGCCATGCATAAAAACAATAGCAAACCTTACAGAACAGTTTCAGTGTTGTACTGGTGTCAGTGTTTCTGATCTGCCATCTAAGGTTGACTTTTGTGAAGTGAAGCAGAAATTACTGTTCAAAATATCATCAGAAATAAACGAAAATGTCAGCAAACTTCACTTGCTACTGTAAGTATTGGAAATTATGCATAGTTTACTTTTATTGCCATTGTAAAGTAGTGAATATCATAGTGTTTGTTGGAATAGACTCAATAGACTCTAGTCTAGGGTCTTAAGCAGGAGCTATTATAAGGTTCATCTCATTTTCTTAAGATTAAGTTTTACTCCTTAAATTATCAGCTGAGATTGCCCATGCCCCTGTATAGTTTCTATGACTTTGAAAGTTTGTCTAATACCATTGCCACAAAATTAGTTATACACACATTTTAAACTTTATGCACATTGTGCTAGTGATGCTGTAATAATTCAGTGTGTATCTTATGTTTGTAAATTTAAAAGAAAGGAACGTTAAATATAATACTGAGAGAAAGTTGAAAAGCTGTTGTCTTTAATTAAATATTTTGAACATATTAAAATAGTCCAATACTTATTTTCAAAGCCTTGATCTGTCTGAGGAAAAAGGCATTGCTATTCAATAAAGGTACACAATGCACATACACTTTGTCATTCAATATTACTTAACCTAACACTAGTAATGTTTTTTTTTCTTCCTTTTGTTGATTTTTTTCTAAGACTTCTGCTGGTATAGTAGATAGATGTTTTATCTATAATTATGAACTCTATGCTGGGCTCATGCAATCCATTTTATAATAACTTGTATAGAAGATATTGAACTGTTCAGTGTCATAACAATTCTGATGCATGGTGACAGTTGAAAAGAAAAAAAATTAAATGGCTGGATAGTAATAACCTCTCTGTTAATTTGAAATATTTTATACATGTGAAAACAGCTAATTTAATTATTGGGAAAAAAACCTACGCTAAATATGATCGTTTCAGTGTATATTTTTACATCATCGGGTTACATGTATATTGATGTAGTTGTAGATATGGGGAATACAGTGATGGTATAGGAAGACATTATGATAAATGCATGTCCAGATGTGCTAAATGTAATGCTAGTGAGGACTTATCCAAACTATTAGAGAGATCACCATTGTATCCATCAATGACAGGTGAGTCTCTTTTATAGTAAAAATAATGTAGCCTAGTTTGATCTGTTAACATTTTCCTCAGCATAAAAGTTAGTGATTTCTTTTGATTGATTCAGATTGTATGCTTACCTGTATGCATTGTTTAGAAGCAGCTCATTTTAATGAATGGTGAACTAGACTTATTCATGGGTAACTATAAATAAAGTGTTTTGGAAAAAGGTATATGCAAGAACAAGTGTATGATAAAAGTATAGCGTTCAGTTCTTCTATCTTGCAGATATGCTACAATGGATTGAGATAACAGAAAGGTTAATAAGGGAAGCATACCTATGTAAAAAATTTATTATAGACACATATACACCTGATCTGCCTGCAATATCTGATAGATTGGAATCATCCTGGACAGCTGGGGATAAAGAATTGTATAAACAAATTGATGGTATTTATGATCTATTGTTTCAATATTCAAATGCATTTTTAGAATTAGTTCATGCTATTACCTTATTTAAAAAAAAAATCTATATCTATTATCCCCTCAGTGCAATATTATCAGTTGGCGGTAAATACAAATGACTTTTGTAAGAGAATGTCAATACATTTCAGGTATTAAGAAATAATTTTGATAAAAATTGATGGCAGGTACCTTGAGGCATCATAGGCTCTTTGTGAGGAAAATTAGTGTATAAAGATTGATCAAACATGGTCATCTAGGCAAACACTCTAACATTGATTTTGACAGAAAATTATGGCTCTTTTTGAACTTGGAAAATTCTACAGTAACCTGGCTCTTGTTTAGCTATCAAGCATTGAAAATATGCATGTATAGTCGAGTGTGCTGTCCTACCTGCAGTTCTTTGTTTTATTCTTGTATAATGTATTTGAAATTAGCAAATTTTGCTTCTTCAAAATCTTTTATCCAAATTTATTTTTATTTTGTAATTTTTATTTTATTTACAGAATACTTAGCTCTAACAAGAAATTTTGTGGAGTTGAAAGTGTCATGAAATCTTCTGTACAGTAATGTGGAAAAACTTTGCAAGCTGCTGTCTTAGAGCACTGACCATCACTTTTGTGTAGATTTCCAGTAGTTTATGATATTTGGATGTATCATTGCTGTTAGCTGGATTTTACTGGACTAGTGATTCGAGAATGAGAAAACTACAATGTAAATAAATATAAATTATAATCATTAATGAAATTCCTGTTTATATTATCTGGGTTTTTTTTTTTAAACTAGACTTTTCTCAGTATACAAATTGACTTTAAGAATTGCTCAGAAAGTCTATAAAACAGTGTGAAAGACAACTGAAAACACATATACATGTAGTTGACTGTTTAAACGAGTGATTTTATTGTTGCAATTTGGTTCAAATACAAAATGTACTGGTATAATCTTTTAAATCTTTTTTTTTTTTTAGAAAACTTTTGACATTTTTATTCTTACTGTTTACATGAAGGAATGTATGGAAATGAAAGCAATATTTTGCTTATATTTTAGAACATTGTTAATTATTTGTTACTAACAGCACTGCACATTAAATACATTACCTCTTTACTTGTTAGCTTTTTATGCCCCCGCCATATAATGGCAGGGGCATATAGTGTTACCCTGTTCCGTCATTCCGTCATCATCAGTTTCCGTTCATTATCTTAATAACCCTTGCACATATTGAACTCAAATTTGACATATGGATATGTCATGACAAAATACAGGTCAAGTTCGAAATTGGTCATGGTTCGATGATTTTTGGCAGAGTTATGCCCCTTTTACATTGAAAATAATATGAAATTTTCAGTTTCCGTTCATTATCTCCCAAACGGTTCAAAACATTCAATTCAAAATTGACATATGGATATGTCATGAGAAAATACAGGTCAAGTTCGAAATTGGTCATGGTTCGATGATTTTTGGCAGAGTTATGCCCCTTTTACTTTGAAAATAATATGAAATTTTCAGTTTCCGTTCATTATCTCCCCAACGGTACAACACATTCAACTCAAACTTGACATATTGATATGTCATGAGAAAATACAGGTTAAGTTCAAATTTGGTCATGGTTCGATGATTTTTGGCAGAGTTATGCCCCTTTTACTTTGAAAATAATATGAAATTTTCAGTTTCTGTTCATTAACTCCCCAATGGTACAACACATTCAACTCAAACTTGACATATGGATATGTCAAAGGAATGCGCAGGTCAAGTTCAAATTTGGTCATGGTTCAATGATTTTTGGCAGAGTTATGCCCCTTTCACTTTGAAAATAATATGAAATTTTCAGTTTCCGTTCATTATCTCCCCAATCGTACAACACATTTAGCTCAAACTTGACATATCGATACGTCAAAGGAATGCGCAGGTCAAGTTCAAATTTGGTCATGGTTCGATGATTTTTGGCAGAGTTATGCCCCTTTCACTTTAAAAATAATATGAAATTTTCAGTTTCCGTTTATTATCTCCCCAACAATATTACACATTCAACTCAAATTTGACATATGGATATGTTTTTGGAATGCGCAGACCAAGTTCGAATCTGGTCATGGTTCAATGATTTTTGGCAGAGTAATGCCCCTTTCACTTTGAAAATAATATGAAATTTACAGTTTCTGTTCATTATCAACCCAACAGTGTTACATATTCAACTCAAAATTGACATATGGATATGTCAAAGGAATGCGCAGGTCAAGTTGGAATTTGGTCATGGTTCGATGATTTTTTGGCAGAGTTATGTCCCTTTCACTTTGAAAATAATATAGATACATCTTAGGAATAAGCAGTTTAAGTTTGAATTTGGTCGTGGTTCAATGATTTTAGACAAACTTATCTTTCCTGAATGTTGGAAAAATTTTGAACTTTCAGTTTCAGCACTCATACTTTTGTGGAAATGTATATAGCCATTATGTTGGCTACAAATATGCAATATGCTATTTTTAAAAGGTTAAGACTGAATAATTTCATTGCCTTGAACATTGTATAAAAATGGTTAAGACTGAATAGTTTCAGTGCCTTGAACATTGTATAAAAATGGTTTGTGTTAACATTGAAAAGTTTTAAGGGCTTTGAACTTAGAATGAAAAAAATAATTTGTGCAAACAAATTTGGAACTAAATATTATAACATTTGAAATTTTGGCTGCATGCGGGGGCATCCGTGGCATGATGACACATTTCTAGTTTTTATTTTCACGGTCTTAACTAAAATCATGTTTAAAACTTTACCTATTTTATTGTTAGTTACATGTGTAATTATATTTTCAACTTTAGATCACATCTACATTTATAATGTTTTTTGTCGTATCTCGGGGGTCAGTCCACCTAACCAGCTGTCCTAGAGAACTAACCAGAAATTACCAATTTTTCCACTGACTGACTACTAATCCCATAATTTTTAAATCAGTGGTAAGAAAAAAATGACTGTAAGACTCAATGCCTGAGATCAATTGTAATGGAGAAATTTTTGCTCTTCTCTTCATTTTAAAAATCCCTGAACTGACAATGATGTGTTCAGTACTAAGTACACTTGGAATATCTCTGTTCAGTGGGTTTTTTCCAACACAAAATGAGATGTTTTACTTTACGAAAGACTTGACGAAGTTTGTCAATTCCTTTTATGCAACAGATGATTTGACTGGCTGGCTTGAAATAGCTTTGTCGGAAATAAAAATCAACTGAAAAGCAAGCCAGAGTTGGTAACCCTCAGATCTTTGTGTGAGAAGTAATAAGACCTGAAATTCAAATTGAAAAATAACTGTCAGCTGGTTGGATAAAATAGATAATAAACAACAGCAATCATTTAAAATTTTAATAGACAAATTACTTTTTTTTCTATTTTGTATGAAAAGTCATATGTATTAATGTTACTGTACAATCTGTACAAAGTATTTTATTCACAGCATTTTAAACTATTTCATGAAAAAATGACAACATAAGAAAACATGAAGTAACAAATACATGTCTGTAACAAAGCAAAAATATACATTTACTTAACAATGTAATTGTCACCCGATTATAAATTAAGTATAAAATATGCAATACCATGCTATTCCACTGGGGAAAACGTCAACAGAAAGAAAAACACCAGAATTGAATAACTTCATACCTACATTTTCATGTAATGAAAACATGATTTTATAGTAAGAAAAAAAAAAAGACACTGTCTAATTGAAACTTTACAAGACTCCTTTGAAATATCATCAAATTTTATTAAAAACTTGTCTGACATATTTCAAGTAGGCTGCAACTGAAGATTTGATTTCATATCATGTAGAAAGGAAATAAAATATATCGTCTTTATTTATCTTCAAATGTTTAAAGAATTAAACTTTACAAAGTACATGTTGAAACTTTTTATTTTTTTCAGGCCTCATCCCAATAGCAAAATGCCTACCTTTTCGTCCCAAAAATGGTGAATCCAAAAATTCCTAATGGCTAAAAATTTCATACTTCAACTGCTTTTTTCTCTCCCAAATTTATTTCACTGGAAAATTCCAAATTGGGTGGACCCAAATTTGTCCCAAAAGGGCGAGAGAGAAAAAACCATTGATAAGAATAATAATAATGTTGAGAGGTGAGATGCTTTTGTAAGAATTAGTACTTTCTATTGTCCCTTATTCTGATAAAATTAATAATCATGTGCAGGTTTCAGTACGAGTATGACCAAATCTACTGTAAATTATAAATACACACATAACCGAATCACAAGAAATAGTAAATATATATAACAAGCCTATCCACATTGGGTTTTCAGTCTTGTAGACACTTGCATGGTTAAACACTACCTGCTGGAAAACCTTTCCCTCTAGTACAGAGCCAGGGAAAGCAGGGGGAAAATTCGTTTCCTGGCACAGAAATACCGAATACCCCATGCCATCTATATGCATTGCTAGTATTTCCAGCACTAGACAAAAGTGCAACAAATATCCTACCAAAAAGCCATGTGTATGGTTTCATTACAAAAAAATTCCGCCATTCAATCAGTTACACCAACCTTAATTGACAACACAGTGCTCTTTAAGTGTATGTCTATCTACTAATAATTCAGTATCTATATAACTTATGATATAAAAAAATTGCACATAATGTCATAAGTAAGAGAAGAAGTTGTCACATGACAGTACAATAAACGAGAGAACTTGCTAAATATGAAATACGTCGAGAAAACTGCTACGGTTATTTGTCAGAAACCTAGCTGAAATCTTTTTGGTGAAAATAATGCTCGATAATTTTCATTGGTATCTTGTAAAAAAAATATTATATTTCAAAACTTACTCTATGTGAAAAATTATCACAAACAATAGAAACAAATTTATACTTTTTTTTCTATGTTTTTTTTCTTTCTTTTCTTCTAAATTATATATCTATAAGTATCAGCAGTTTTCAAATCCCACTGTTTAACCTTCCCATTGTTTGACCTTTAAATTCTATTATAAAAGACAATGAAAAGATTAAACGTTAATATATATCAAATCAACAACCAATTGTTTCAAAAAATTATGTTAGTTTAACACATACCTAGTAGTGAAAATTCAAACACTTTCCATCATTAACAAGACAACCACAAATATGAATTGATAATGAGAAAACAAAGTAAATAGCCGCGTCATGACAAAACCAACATAATGGGTTTGCGACCAGCATGGATGCAGACCAGCCTGCACGTCCGCGCAGTCTGATCAGGATCCATGCTGTTTGCTTACAGACCCTATAACAAGTAAAGAAACTGATAGCGAACAGCATGGATCCTGATCAGACTGTGCTGATGCGCAGGCTGGTCTGGATCCATGCTGGTCGCAAACCCATTATTATGTTGATTTTGTCGTGACGCGGCTCAAATGATAATATGAAATGTTCCACCCATAAAATGTACCGTAACAGGAAAATGTTAACAGATATAATTATTTGCAAACATAATATTAATAATAAAGAAATGAACACATATATTTATGACAAATTAACACAAAATGTTAAAATGTATCTGCATATATATAATTTTCTTCTTTCAATAAAATTCTGAATGTAAATGATTTATTTTATACACCTCACTTCATTGTGTTCATCTAACGTTAGAAAATCTCATCTTGTTTGCAACCATCCCCTTACAAAGCTAAACACAAAACTTTTCCATGTATCTTTCTGGATAAAACCATTTATCATTTTTTGGGAAATGTAAGTAATGAACGATGCAGACCTTAAGCAGATGGCACCGATGTGCCAATCTTGGTCGGATGGGTAGATTCCCTGCTGCCAGCAGGTTAAGGTGTTAAAACGAGAACAAAATTTAATAGGTCTATGTAGGAAGCACTTGGTTTCTTTTTTTTGTAACCTACTTTCTATTCATAGGCACAAATCTCAAGTGAAGGTGATATTATAATTTAATATCTTGATTTTATTACTAATTTCTGTTTATTCATTTTCAATTAAAATATATATATGGTGAAGTGAAATCAATAGTGATGATGTAACCTTACAGCCGCATGCCTCCAGATGAGTCAAAATATTTCAAGAAAATCAAACTTGAGAGAAAAAAATATACTACAATTTTATGAAAAGTAAAAAGATTTAGAAAAAAATTAAGGTTATCTGCGATATGGGCAATTTTTGCATATCTTAACCCTATTTTAATAATGAATGTGGATTGTAAATACTGTTTGCAATGTATTTATTACTTTCTTTGTTCACTACACAGCATTTTTCATAATTTTTCACAAAAATTTGCATGAATTTGGAGGCATGCTGCTTTAAACAGAAACTTTATTTCAACTTCATTTAATAACCCTCAGAATCTTTGTTGTATGAACATTGTCTGTGGTAGAAAAGCAATTATTATGTAACTTTATCAGTATGTTACAATAGGTTGTGCCAGTTACAAACAAACATAATTATCTCCATAATTAATTGCCAAAACTATTTTTAATGAACCTGCATTTACCATAAACTACTTTTAAGTAGAAATATTAACAAGATCACAATTTTTACAAAACTACAAACCATTCTATACATTTCTACGACTTTTTATTCAACTGTTAAAACACATTATATTCTGAAATATATTAAACACAAGCTCCAGGCTTGTACTGCTTACTCATTTCTATTTTATAACCTTTACTTTTTTTACTATGAAAACCTTAAGAATTCTTAATACCCATTAACTGCATGTAGGAATAAGTGAAACATTATCAATGGACTGGAAATCTAAAAGCTCATCATGAATGTATAACCAAAGCATATTGTCAGCTTAATTCAAGTACAACAGAAAGTCAACAATGATTAACTTCCATTTTAGACTAACCTCTAGCTTGGACCCTCCATTCTTAGAAAAAATCTGGATTTTTTTTTAATTTGAAGTCAGACTAGAAAAGAGCACTGCACACAGTGCTAACGCTCAGCTCTTGTGTTAAAGTACAATGTAACCACTTTTGATAAAAAATTTAAGTTAAAAGGGGCATAACTCCAAGAATAAAGCTTTTTGAATTATATCCCATTTCTTACAACTGCACCTTGTCATGATAAGCAAGCATTCCATGGAAAATATTGATACCTTTAAAACTGTTTTGAGTTATGGACTACATTTAAGTTTCTGCACCAATGCGACAACTATGACGCATCGATCATAACATCTGGATTTTCCTTCAAAACAGACAAGCTAAAAATAGACTATCTAACAACTTCTTCGGCACAAGTTTCGGCTAGTTCAGTACTCATTATCAGATTCAATACCTGCTGGTACTTGTCCCTTTGAAATATTTTCGGATTCACATAGCATACCAGGTAACTGGAACAACAGCTAGAAAGACCGACATAACAATAAAATACATTAATTGGTTAACATCAATCCCAGGGTTTTTCTCAGCTACACTGCCACTGTAGACAATCCAGAAACATCTAATTCCGTCAATGAAATTGGTTTCTGGAATTTACATTCAGCTAATACCATAACCATAACCATAGCAAGGGTTTTAGAATTCCTTTGCCATAACCTCACATCAGATGTTTAATAATCATAATCAAGTCTTTTAAATAGAATGCTCCATGGAAGCAAGTTTCTCTTATATAACAGTTATCCAAGTCACGCCTGTACATCAGCTGCCTTTAGGTTTTTTTCAATAACTGACTTGACTGTAACACTTCATGTAACTACACTCAATAAGCTGAGTGACATTTTCTCCTACTACTCTCTGTATCACAGTATTTTGTTGTTATTGTTGTGTTATCGTGGTAATTAATATACCACTTGTAATGTTAAAGCACTTCACACACTGTATTTTTCTGTAACAGTCATCATTTTAAGAACGTTCTGTACAGTATGTTTGATTTATTGAGAGTTTTATCTTGTTCCATTAAGAACAGCAGGTCCCTGAGGTTCACTCTTTTAATTCTTGGTCGTAAAGCCTGAAATAAACGTATGTTTATTCATATAATTTAATTTCTACTGGTAGAAATATTCTGTTAAAAGTATCATTAACAACATATTTGTTTTGTCACATGAAAAACAACCAAAAACCAACTAAAATACAAGAAATAACAACAAAATCAAAACAAACAGAAACATCTATGTACAATGCATTGCTGCAAAAAAGAATTTATAACAAGATACATATGAACACTTTTTTCATAAATATTTATTAATAAACTGAAACTGTATATCATCCTATACAGCCCAATAGAAAATTCTTTAATGAATAATTCTAACAAGCATCAAACTATTCCCCTATCAAACAGATAGGGCAATCAAATGCATTATTACAGGATATATGCACAGCATAAAAAACGAATGCTTACACATCATATGACGTCAGTTATGACATCAATAAACCAAATGACGTCTCGATAATAACTTCTATGCTGAATGTAGTATCCATTTTGTAGATATTACAGATATTATATGTTCTTGCATTATAGTATAATAATGCACTATTTATCGTTCAAATGCTTTGTAATTAATCACTCGGACCTGTCTGCCTTCCTGATTATATTCCTACGCATTTGAACTCGAACCATGCATTATTCTACAAGAATGCTCTCAAAATCTATTTCCTAAATCAAAGTCTTTGATATTTTGTTCAGAAAAGCAAACATTTATTAAAATAGAAAGAAAACACATTTCAGATATAAAATGATCTGTGCAAAAAATCAAAATACTTACAGTTCTAGTGTTGGACGAAGATGGGCCATTTGGTACATTACTAGAACTACTCTGAAAAACAAAATAAGATAACATATATAAAACACCCAAAATGTAAATTTATGGTTATTACACCTATTTCTGGTATTTTAAAAAAAGTATCAAATTGGACACCCTTATTTCTGTAAAAAAGGTTATATTTGCAAATAATTCACTTTTTGCTTATACGTGTAATTCTTTAGAACCATACAAAATCAGAAATGCTGTAAAAATTATATCAGTAGAACAGTATAATTCTGAAATTATTTCTTTCAGTAGGTGAGATCATCGAATGTATGAAGTTTGAATAAAATCCTTTCATTATGTATTCAGTTATAGACCTAACAGTACCTGAAATAACAATTAACTACACAGATAACAGGTGAAACAATGGATTTTTCCACTATTTACAGTTTTATGTAAATCGGCAAACTGGTTATCCATTTGCTACACTGGTGTCACTGGTTGTCCCTGTTTACACACAAAATAAAAATAAAAAATTTCATGCTATTTATGACCAGTCTGGTTGTCTTTATTTACACCAAAAAAAACACCAAAGATTTCTTTGAGATACTGTTTATGAGCAGTTGACCAAGCAATAGAAAAGCCAGGGCTTAATTTTTCAGTGCCAAAAATTGGAAAGATTCATTATTCAAAAATAAGACTTATCATACTCAATTCTTTTTATAGTATTCAAATAAGTCAAACTAACCGAAGCCTCATCAAGTTTCCGTTTCTTTCGAGGCCCAATAGCAGCCAAAGCTGTAAGATTTGCCTCCCTTTGCCGAACCTCTTCCATTTCTGCAGCTTGCAACTGTAAATATATATAATATTTATAACCATATATTTTTTATGAGAATTAGTTACATAATTGTATTCATAACAAGCTGCTAAACAGAGTAACACAATGTATATCATAGATGAGTATATTAAATATACTTATTAGGCAATTAAGCTAAACAGAAGATGTATTCTGTACTTATTATAGATCAATATTACATAACTGTTTTGAAAACTTATTTTCCTCATTCAGTAGCATTACTTTTTTACTTTCTTTAACATGTTCAATTTATGTAATGAATCTGCATTCCATTGAGCTTTCAACAGTCCATTTGGAAATATGGGAATTCCAATATCAAAATACGAAAATTGAACTAACAACAGTATACAACTTGGCCATACTGCATGGATGTGCAGTATGGCCAGACTCTTTACTGGTGACAAAGGTTATTCAATAAAGGTTCCATAAGGTTAACGGTAAAGTTTGTATATAGCATTTAAAATAAGATGAAATTTAGAGAACACTATGTTTGAATGTTACAGCTTTACTGATGAAATCTAAATAATATTTGTGATGTACAAAAAACATGTTTTATATTATTTTCAACAAACTTTTTTTACTTACATCCTTGGCCCTTTGCTTCAGTTTTAGATGCTCTGGATCTTCAAATTTTGTACGACTCTGTAATTTGACAAGAAAAATAAAAGAAAATAATTATACAAGAAAACCCTAAAAACATCAATTAAAATGGTTTCCAGGGACTTTGCATAAAGTGTTTATCGAACAAGATGATACCTTACATAAGTGTACTCCTTAAACAGGCCATTAAATAAAAAATAAATAATGGCAGTAGTTGACCCAAAAGTATATTTTCTTTTTGTAGCAAGATTCAGTGTTGTTACATAACTGCTAAGTCAATTGTCAATTATACACATTACATAATTACCCTCAAAACCTACTATATTCCCAAATAAGTGTGTGAAATTTCAACAAATTCCTTTCAGTAGCTTTGCAACAAGTTTGCACACAAAAGCTTAACCAAAGTGCAATACTGCGAGTACAATATCCCTCTCTATTCGTAGAATAATGAAGCTAATAATTTGAAATTTTATAGTGATAGAGACATACCTTTGCAGCTCGTCTGAGCATTTCTTTCTCCTGCTCATCATGCCTCTTACGTTCTAAAACATCTAATTCTTCTAGAAACTTTAACTGAGCTCTTACATCTAGAGTTGATTCAAACTTCTCATTCATCTGTAATATACAAATGTTGATTGTTGAAATACTATCCCGACAGGTTATCATGTTTAATACATACAAGTGCGAGTAACTTAATGATTCATATAAAGCTTATATAAATTCAGCTTTACTTGTTTACAATCACCCTGCTGCAAATCCCTCTAAAATTTCATGTATAGCAGGGCACATGAGTAGATCCACAAACTCTGGAAAGGTTTTATTTGTATTAGATCTATTTCTTTGTTAATACATAGTTATTGTGAATAAATATGTTTGTCGAAAATACAAACATCTTAATTTATTCAGCAATATTCTTAAACCACAGCATTTATGAGCAATGCATAGCAAATCTCTATCCATAACAATCTTTGGAGATATTATGTAGGAAAGAATGGAGCTTACTTTGTAAATCTCAGTTCTCTGTTCAGCTATGGTTGATAATTTTTCTACAATATGGCGTAATCTTTCTTGAGTTGCATGAGATACTAAGTTAACTACTTCTGTCGGAACTTCTGTTAAACCATGTTTACGTGCTGAAATTTTAAAATGAACTATACTTTAACTTGCACCATATTATCTACACAGTAGATAAACAAAATCACCTTATCCTGTCTTGTGAGCCAATATAATTCAATCTGTATGGTACCATGACTTGCTATTACAAGCACCTGTTACTTCTGATCACTATACTTATCTACCTTTCTTGGGAGCTTATATATTTCAACGTGTACCTTTCTTGTAATAACAAGAATTTGTAACAGAGTTACCAATGTCCCCCGCCTCATGGAAGTTTTATATGACACATAAAATTGTGCTATTTCAAAAGATATTGGTATGGATCTCAAGACTTTCAGTCCAAAATTATGATCAATGCTAGATCTTCAAATGCAACCATTAATTTATTAAAGAAATAAAATGAAACACAGAATTAAAAAATCTTTATTACATGCTTTTCGGTGGTTTATAGAAATATATCAGTGATATAAAACTGGTAATTTCACTGTTTGAAACAGTGAAATTACCACTTTGATAATTTCACTGTTTCTTAATTTAAGCCCCTTACGTTGTTTCAGTGAAATACCAGCGTGCACAGTACTGGGTACCAACTTAATGACGTGACGTCATGAATGACGTCACGTTGTATTATTATTTGGCGCGCATTTCATTCAGTATTAGGTTTAATGTCTTTTTAAAACGTTTATTTGCATATAATAAAAAGAAAATTTGTTTAGTTTAGTGTATGATCAAAATATATTTCACCTTGTGAACACCAAAAGTTCATATTACACTCGTGGCTGCGCCACTCGTGAAATATACCTTTTGGTGCTCACTCGGTGAAATATATTCCGATCTTACACTGAACTAAACAAATATCCTCTATATCATGTTAAGCTTTGATCTCCAAGTGTGACCTTGACATTGGAGGTAGGGGTGCAGGTGTTTAGCATGACATATCGTCTTATTATTGTAACAATTTGCGCCAAGTATTTTCAAAATCTCTTGAACTATGAAGAAGTTATAGATTGGACACAAAATATACCCTATAACAGACTATGTTAATCTTTGACCTCTAAGTGTGACCTTGGAGGTAGGGACCCATGTTTTGCGCCTGACATATTGTCTTACTATTGTGATTATTTGTGTAAAGTATTTTTTAAATCCCTTGATCTATGAAAAATTTACGGACTGGACACAAAATAAACCCTATAACAGACTATGTAAATATTTGACCTCTAATGTGACCTTGACCTTGGAGGTAGGGACACAGGTGTTACGCATGACATATCATCTTATCATAGTGACTATTTGTGCCAAGTATTTTCAAAATCCCTTGATCTATGAAGAAGATATGGATGGGACACAAAATATACCATATAACAGACTATGTTAACCTTTGTGTGACCTTGACCTTGGAGGTAGGGGTGCAGGTGTTGTACTTCTTGTAGTTCTAGATCGGACACAAAATATAACCTATTACAGACTATGTTAATTTTTGAACTCCTAGTGTGACCTTGACCTTGGAGGTAGGTGACAGATTTTTGTGCATGACACATTGTCTCATTATTGTAAACAATTGTGGCAAGTATTTACAAAATCCCTTCGAAGATAAGAAAGTTTTGGACTGGACTACATATACCCTCAAATAAACAATGTTGACCTTGAATGAGCAAGTGCGACCTTGACCTCGGAGGTAGGGGTCTGGTTGTTGCGCATGACACATCGTCTTATTAAAACAAACAATTGTGCCAAGTTATTTAAAATTCATAGTCTGTTTGAAGTTACCATATCCACATTGAACTGCAAACTATAGCCAGAGATATTCAAACACTTACCTATTGCATGAATTCTATTTGTTAAAGGTCCCTGGGAAAGAAAAGCTTCATCTTTACAAGATCGAATTTGAGTTCCTATGAATTCAGCATTTGTTGCTAAGATATTTCTACTCTCTTCTGTCAGATTAACTCCGCCCATTGTAGCAACATCATTAATGTCATCATCATCCCTATAAAAGTTAATTTGAATATTCATTTCTATTTATTTAATTCTCCTACATGTATCTTTTTATTGTAATTTGTTTGTTGGGTTTTAAGCTATCCAACACTATCACAGTCATATGGCTCCTATCCAGCTTTAATATTCCACTCTGCTGCATTATTTTTGTAAACTTTTTGGAAATGTAATAAATTGAAAAAGAATAATGTTTTTAAACACTTGGATTTTCCTAATGTAAATTATGCATTAGTTATTTTACATTTCATAAGTAGCTTCCATAAATTTGACACTTTTAGTTTAGACATTTCAAAATATAAATATTTTATCACTTTATTATTTTTACAACTTCATTAGTATTGAGGATATTCATACATGTGAACTTTTTTCAATGAACAAGTGGGAGATTTTTCTTCAAAAAGAGGGAGATTTTAAAATTTGCAATAAACAAAGAAGAAAGTTCTGACATCAAATAGAGGGAGATTTCTTTAATTTGTGAAAATACCCCTTAAGAAAAATCTGTGAAAATATAGCTGCAGAAAGTGGGAGTCTCCCGCTGAAAGTGGGAGGGTTCACATGTATGGATATTCCCATACTGATAACATTAACATTTGCAATAAACAGACTGCAAAAATGAGATTGCCAAGAAAAAATATGGTTTATTTTACCATCATCAAATCAAAATAATCATCATTTTAGTTAAACAAAAAAAATCTTACTTAAATGATTCTTTTACACGTTTAGTGTCCTTATGGGAATGTGATGGCCCGGGGCTGGAGCTAGGTGTGAGGCCAGCTACCCGAGAATGAAAGGCTTTAACTGTGCTAGGGATATTGCTGTGCACCATGTTCATCTGCTTGGTCATTGATGGTTTCCCTGTTCCCATGGTTACCTGAGCAACACTTGGCTTCGGATGAAACTGACCTCCAACCTTTGGTATAACCTACAACAGTTATAAACAGGTGAAAATAAGAGAAAATTATAAACAACATAAGGGCCACGACCATTCAGTCTATAAACGCTATAAATGACACAAATAAATTATTTTGATCATGTGACATATAAATAGGCAACAATTGTTAGAACAAGCATCAAAAAATATTTTCAGTGTCACTTGTCCTGCAGGACAAGTAGCTTCTGAATCAAATATGATGGCAACATATTTCTACTTCAGAGTTCTCTTAATTTCTAAGTGTAATTAAGAGCAGAAAAGTGGATTTTTTTTAGATCTCTGCAGAATCTAGATCAACTGATGAAGTTTAATTCAGCAGCTAGTATATGCACTAATATATTGTTTTAAAAAATATACCTGATTTTGTGACGACAATTGTCCAACATGACTTTGAGTGACTATTGACTGATGTTGTTGGACAATTTCTATAGGTGGCGGCTTTACCCCATCTATCGTCATCTTATTGTTTAACAATGACTGACGTAATAATGGTAAACTTTTCTACAATATAACAAATCACAAGATATTAATATTTCAAATATTTTCAAAAAATCTGTACTATGTGATCATGGTCTACACTATTTGCTATTAAGTCAATACACTTTTTTGAACTTTTCCTTTGAAGTGATGAATTGTTTTGTTTGTATTGAAAACTATAATCATAATTTAGTCATAATAAGTCATTATGATAATTCAGATGCAATGCACATTTATATTAATTTATATCAAAATAATTTTGAAAAAAACATCTTCTTTTTTGAATATTTTCTTATTAGATTTTATTTTTCCCAAATTTATTTAATTACTAGATGCATGTAGAAAGTATTATGGTATTGAAGTTGGATGTATTCCTAATATTACTCTTATTATAAATTTGAACAAATCAACAGCTGTCATTTAATGAGCTAAACAGTTAACACCAACCTCTTTAATTGCAAAGCAAATCATAAGGGAGAAACAATTAAAATACCTTTCCTGTATATCTTAATAACATGATTGTAAATAAGAGGAAAAATATCAAAAATCATAGCTTTTAATCTTAAAATACATGAGGGATGATGATAAAAATATACACATACCTTTAAAAATGGTACAAGATATGGCTGCGGTGAGGATTTCAACTCCTTTTGTAATTTCTCTGTAAAAACTTCAGGTTCAAGCTTACCATCCTGTAATATCAAGATTATCCAGTTATTTTCAAATCCTTAAGGCATTTTGTATAGAAATGTACAATTTCTGAAATTCTGATTATTTTTACTAGAAAGGAATATATTTTGACCTTTTGAGCTTTTATTTTGTAAAATGTCTGCAGTTACTGGAATTGATAATGATTGTCACAGATAGGTGTGGGTTTACATAAGATGTGATAATTTGAAAATTGTTTTGTAGCAGTTATTTGCAAATGAATAATAACAACTCAATGCCTGAAAGAAAGTTCCTTACAACTACAATTAGTGATAATACTCTAACTAGGTGTATAACTCAAAGTCTAGTAGTATGAGGCATTTACTTGGTTGGGTTTTGTCACACCAGCACAGTATAGATAATATGGCAGCTTTACTGGTGCCCCATTTTACAGTATTTCTGTTACAAACGGGCACCTGAGTAGAACCACCGACGTTTCTTACGGTAGCTGGATAGCTCCCTAACATGTTGAATCCGACCTCGTTTGCTTGGCTACAAGATCTTTAAAAGGCAATGGCTACCAGGTAAGAATAATTATATTTATTCAATGTGCTTTCATATGATAATCTGCAGAATCTTAATTACAAGCTCTTATCTTATTAACGTTAATAGACTGGGTAGATTGGTTTTGACATTATTTGATATATACAACTTACAATAAGCCCTTGAATGAGATCTCTAACACTACTAACAGTAGCCTCCGGCTGACTAGCGGCTAACTTTATAAGGGTGGAGAGAAAGTTTTTGCATTTCTTCACATTCTCTATCATCTGTTGTTGTTGTGCAGCTGTAACATGGCAGTTCATAAAATATTATTTATTATATATATATTTATATATACAAACAAGAAACATGGCAATGCCATGAAACCAGGTTTTCAATTATCACCATTGTAGATAAATATGTTGTATTTGAAATACAAATACAAGCAACAAACAATGTAACTATGTGCAATGTAAAACTTGAATAATGTAGGAGGAATTGCCACAGAGGAAGTGTTCACTATAATTATATTCTGTATAAGGAAAAAAAACAAAGGGCCATAATTAAATAAAAAATTATTCAATCACAAAACCCCGACAATATGCGGCAGGGCACTGGATGACAAAGCTACTGTGAACGTTTGAACAAAATCCATTGAGAAATGTAGGAGTTCAGCAGAGAAATTTTTTTTCACTATATATTCTGTATAAGGAAAAATAACAAAGGGCCATAATTAGGTCAAATATCATCCAATCACAAAACCCCGATATTATGTGCGCCAGGGCACTTGATGACAAAGCCTCTGTGAAAGTTTGGTCAAAATCTGTTGAGAAATGTAGGAGAAGTTGCGCATGGTAAAAATTGTTCACTATATAATCTTTATAAGGAAAAAAAACAAAGGGCCATAATTAGGTCAAATATTATCCAATCACAAAACCTCGATAATGTGCGCCAGGGCATTTGATAACAAAGCTTCTGTGAAAGTTTGGTCAAAATCTGTTGAGAAATGTAGGAGAAGTTGCGCATGCTAAAAATTGTTCACTATATAATCTGTATAAGGAAAAAAAACAAAGGGCCATAATTAGGTCAAATATTATACAATCACAAAACCCTGACAATATGCCCTAAGGCACTTGATGACAAAGCCTCTGTGAAAGTTTGGTCAAATTCCGTTGAGAAATGTAGGAGGAGTTGCGCACAGAAAATTGTTCACTATATATCCTATATTGGGAAAAAAAACAAAGGGCCATAATTAGGTCAAATATTATCCAATCACAAAACCCCGACAATATGCGCCAGGGCACTTGATGACAAAGCCTCTGTGAAAGTTTGGTCAAAATCCATTGAGAAATGTAGGAACAGTTGGGCACAGAAGAAATTATTCACTATATATTCTATATAAGGAAAAAAAACAAAGGGCCATAATTAGGTCAAATATTATCCAATCACAAAACCCCGACAATATGCGCCAGGTCACTTGATGACAAAGCTTCTGTGAAAGTTTGGTCAAAATCCGTTGAAAAATGTAGGAGGAGTTGCGCACAGAAGAAATTGTTTACGCCCGCCCGCCCGCCGACATACCTCAATCTAATAACCAGTTTTTTCCTTCGGAAAACCTGGTTAAAAAGTTAAAGAACATTTGTACTGAATCAACTTTTGATATACAAACTAGAACTGCCACTGTCATGGCGTGAATACCCCCGCATACCACTTTGTCAGAATCAACAGTGACCATTGAGAGCTCAAAGACAACCTCCCTGCAAAATCTGAGGTTACTAAGCCAGTGCATTGCTAAGTTATGTATTCTACATGCTTCAAATGTGAAAATGTCAAAATCAATACACTGCGGACAGGCATTCTTAAGCATTTGAGCAGACAAGCTTATTATAGTAAAATCCCTGTGACCTTGACCTTTGACACAGTCACCTTAAAATCAAAAGGGGCCATCTACTAGTCATAAACAACCTCAAAGTGGACAAGCTTTTTGAAGTCAAGGCCCCTGTGACCTTGACCTTTGACCTCAAAATCAATAGGGGTCATCTACTAATCTTAAGTTATTGGGCGGACAAGCTTTTTGAAGTCAAGGCCCCTGTGACCTTGACCTTTGACCTGGTGACCTCAAAATCAATAGGGGTCATCTACTAATCATGACTAACCTTCATGCCAAATATGAACACTGTGGGTCAAAGGATTCTTATGTTATTTGGCGGACAAGCTTTTTGAAGTCAAGGACCCTGTGTCCTTGACCTTTGACCTCAAAATCAATAGGGGTCTTCTACTTATCATGACTAACCTCCATGCCAAATATGAAGACTGTGGGTCAAAGGATTCTTTTGTTATTGGGCGGACAAGAAAAAAACCGACGGACGCCAGCCAAGCTGATTCCAGTATACCCCCCTTACAACTTTGTTGTGCGGGGGTATAATAAACAAAAAAGATCAAATAGTTAATAAATAAATGTGAAAAACACTACTTTTTAATTGTAAATAACCATACCTCTCCCCCCCCACCCTACCCCCCATGCTATCTGATCATAATGTCCAAATATAAAGAATGGTTTGTGTTCTTCTTGAGAATTTCACTGACCAATCAACAACTAAATGTTTTGATAAAATCTTATATGTATACACATACCAGGATGACCTTATGAAGAGACTGTTTAGTTTTTAATATGCACTTTTTGTTTGCTTTTATAAACGCAATCAACTTTTTCCCACTTAGATAAAAATAAAAATTTTCCTCTTGAATTTCCCAAAATATCTGTGACAAAAGCTCTGACCTATATAGAAAACAACATTTCTTACCCAATAATTATCAAGAAATTGGAGTAAGTTTCAGTAAAATCCAAGGTAATACCAAGAGAAGATGCTAATATCTTTGTAGATTAAAAATTGATGTGTAGTGTATTAAGGATATGTTGTACCTGCTGTCTTGCTGTGATAGAAAAGCTGACTATAATTATGAATAAATGATCAATAAAGCACTGAAAATTACCTTGAGCAGCTGGTGATGGTTGACCAGAACTTGCAACATGAGAATGACCAGTGTTTGAACCTCCAGGTGCAGTTGTTCTTACAACAGATTGTAAACTTCCCGGCATAGAAACCCTGATACCAGGCTGTGTGCGTGATGCATTTACAGGGGCTGGCACAGCCTGTCTCACCACAGTCTGGGGCTGAGATTGTGCCCCAGGCTGGATGGTTAGAATTTGGCTGTTGGGTAATCTCTGAGCGGCTCCAGTATTTGGATGCTGGAAAAAAGGTAACAAAGTGTTTTAAATCAGTAAATGGCATGTACATGCATATAAACAAGTTAAACATTTTTATTAGAGGTCTTTGCTCAAATTAAGATTTTTTTCTTCTATTAACTATTACTATACTTTCAACTACAATTATGAAGTTATAATTATGCATACTAGACATTTTTCAATAAATAGTTACCTTAGTGCAGTAACGGGTAAACTGGTATTAAGTTATATTTATAAGGAGTTAACCCATTACTGCACTAAGGTGACAAAATGTTTTTCTAGAGGACACAACATGATATGAGCAGGATCTGGTATACTTTAATTACCTTACTTTGTCTATAACTTGCTTATTTCTGGAAATGTTAATTAAAGACGTTTTTGGGAATTTTCATATGTTCAAATAGAATTTCTTTAAACCTGGCATGTTGTTAGAATATGATAACAGAAACATTTTAAGCGAAAAAAAATTGGGGTCACTGTTCTCGTTAAAGTTAAAGTTATAAATCAGCATTAATATGTATTATCAATTGTATTCCTGCTTAGCTCAATAGCGAGAGCATTGGATTTGTTATTCAAGGGTTGTGCAGGTTCTGTTCTTGGGTGAGTAGAAATTTCTTTGTGACAAATGATCTCAGACATTGAGTTTTATGGTCATTTGTCTCTAACTGCTGATCAAAAATCGATTTTGGATTAAAAATCAGTCATTTGTGAAGAAAAAGATACTTACTGGTTAGTTATCCAGGAAAGCCTGTATTACAGGTGGATCCACTGCTGAGATATGACCACAAAACATGTAAATATTGACGTAAAAACTTAACAAACATGTACGAAGATTGTCAAGTCGCACACCTTAACAATGCTGCTTAAATTTTTCAATGTTTAAAGAGACTTACCCTAACATACTGAACTTTCTGTTGTGTTGTACTGCTTGAGATCGTTACTGAAGAAACTGGATTATGGCCTGGAAGTGAGCCAGGCTGGACTATCACAATCTGCCCTTGCTCATTTTTCATGAGTACCGCCCCCTGGCCTGGTACAATACCTGGAGGTAATGTGATTGTACCCTGAAATGGAGATAATATCATTCACTGTTGTTATCAAATTAAAACATTCTTCTTTGATGTATATTGCCAGGTTATTCTAAAGTACTGTGTGTCAACGAGCACTGTATGTGGTGTAAAACATTTGTCTGTAAAAAAGTCAATCAGGGGCATAACTCCAAAATTTTGCTTTCAGAATAATGACCCTTGTGTAACAACTGCACTTTGTCATGCAACTGCACTTTGTCATTATATGATGATAAGCAAGTATTCCAAGTTATATGTTGATAACTTCTAAAATATTTGAATACTAGGCTACCATTAAATTTAAGTTTTTGCCAACAACATTACAGCCATCTCAATAGCTCGTTTCTTTGAAAGAGATGAGCTAAAAACCATAACTATTTCATTATTCAGATAACTTTAAGCTAACTGCAGTGCATGTAAGTTATACCATATAAAAAAATCTTTTATTTTTAACACAGAATAAGCATATATAATTTGGTCAAGGTGAGTCTTACAAACCATATTTAAAAATGTACTAGTCTCTACTGATCCAGGCATGAGATTTCTTCACCCCTGCCTTATTTATCTTCAGGTTATGAAATATAAGTTACTGTTAGTTACATAAAATGAATGTAAAAATATATAATTAATTGAATAATGATAAAGTAAAACTTCTCCATGGGAGAGTATTGCTGATTTTGAAAATGCTTATCTTTCCCTTAAAATGCCACTGTGCACACATTTGATCAATGACAAAACAGCAGCTAGCTGAAAACTTTTAATGGAATGAAAGACAGAAAGCTGTCACTATAGACAGCCTCTGCTTTGTACTGCAATTTATGAAAATTTGGTAAAATGTGTGACTATGTAGCATTCTCATGTTTGTTAGATTTGTCAGATTTTCCCTTTTTCTGAGAGAAACAGGTTGTTTTGAAAATTGAATAAAAAATCATAGACAACAGGGGTCCTGAAATATGTTGCCCTAGTTGAGTTGGGCATTAACTAACTTGCCTGAATGCATGTGCAAGTCTTTCTGTTGTTCTTTTCATGCAGTTTTGGACATTCAGTAAGTATACATTGTATATTCAAAAATAATAGCATTATGGCACCAATTTCTCAATTCAAAGGGCCCCAGACCTATTTGCAAAAGGATGGAAAATTGGAAAGAAACACTGGGTTTTATTCTATAATCAATTACTTTAATTGATTTTAACTAACATTATTAAATGTTAGCAGTTTCTTGTCTATAATCTATAAATGAAATTTCTGATGTAAAGAGTGCATAACATCCACCCCAGTTACAATCATTGAACACTCAGAATTTCAGCATATAATGCATATATGTGTTTTACAGTGTGCATTAAAAATATCACCAAAGTAATATACTGGGGTATAATTCTTACTCCAGATCAATTTTGTTGTTAAATTTTCTTTCAAGCCAAAAGTTAAAATTATACCATCTGTAGAATTTTAAGCATAATAAGTCAATTACTTGAGTAAATTGTCAATTTGATAATTAGGCGAAATTATGCCAATATTTATATACAGTCGACTCTCGTTATCTCGAAGTCATTGGGACCGTCCAAAAAATATCGAGATAACGAAATGTCGAGATAAACATATTAGGGTTAGAACAAAGCGAAACTGATTTTTACAAAAGACATGTGCATACCTTATGTCAAATAAACTATAATATCCCTATATCTTGTTTTCATAGGCCTAGTCAATATTTGACAAAGTAACATTGGCGGATGTTAACCAGCGGAAATACGGGTGTCTGTGATAAAAACACATAGTGAGATTTACTCAGTAATACACCAATATAGTGAATCTGATATCGGATATGGTTGATTCGGATATCCTCCCGGGTTATTTATCGGGTCTTTCTCAAGATTGTTCGACCGCTGATTGATTTGGTGTTGATGTTGTGAAACAATATTGCAACGATAGTGTTTCTATACTTTCACTATTTCATTTACATTTAAAGTCAAAATGAACTGACACAGTGTTCGAATATTTAAAAAGAATCTAAAAAGAATGTAAAATTCACTCATTTTGAACATAAGTCATTCAACACACTAAATAGATTAACTTTTATAAAAACAGCTTAACTTGTTACAAACATAATTGTCATTATGACACGCGCTGTAATTGAGCAATTATCGTCTAGATTGTGTTTTTCACACGTCTGAAGGGAACAGACGAAAGAAAATTATTAGTCGAGATAAACAAAGGATAATAGTGTGAAAATAACTGTTGGGGCTGAAATTTTTCATCGAGATACTGAAAATATCGAAATAGAAATATCGAGATAAACAAATATTTCCAATATAGATAAAGAAGGAAAAAAATCGGGACTTTTAAAATTTCATCGAGATAACGAAATATCGAGAAAAACGATGTCGAGATAACGATAGTTGACTGTATAACAAAATTATAAACTGATTAATTACAGGGTTCTCGGGGATGCTTATTTCGGCGTCCCGGTACGCATGTTTATTGCAGCCGGACGCAAATATTTCAGAGCAAGGATTCCACGTACGCTTAATTTTGCCCGGGGACGCATAAACATTCCCAATTGTTTACAACCACAAATACACAAATGCGTCAGTCTATAGGTAGGTGGTCCTATGCACATCGACCCGTGAAGCAATTAGCCAATCAGCGATAACGCTTTCCGATCATTATCATGCAATAGTGATCAGACTAATGTATACACGCGCTGTACAGTACATGTAATTACCAGATATATCACGAGGTGATAATTTTATATCTTTGATCAACAGTTGATTGGAAATTAGCAAATTTTACAGACAAAAGGATAAAATTATCGACTATTTACGCCGCAAGTTTAAAGACTGTTTTCTCAAATTACAATTGAGTGTAATTTTGAATGATTGTCGAATATTTTCGGCATAATAATGATTGTCGAATATTTTCGGCATTTTCTAGGCACAATTTTGCTTTAGTTTCATTCTTGCAAAAACTTTCTATAAGAGTATTAAGAATTTAAGATATTGTGCCGAAATGCCATGAAAACATACGCTTTTCACTATCCGAAAATTGATCCCGAAGATCGGCGATTTCAAGTTCGCCAGAAACCCTAAAATTTCGCAAAAATTCTCGGTTTCCAAGCCAAACATGCGAATGAATTGTTTCTTTATTATTTAATCAACATTAAATCTTTAAATGTCGATCTTTAATTTGCCCCCTTTTGAAGATATTTGCTAAAATAATCGTCGATCGGATGAATCTCTTACACACTGTGTGAATCTGTACACGATTTTCCTATTCATTCCGCTAAACGCTGCCTATATACATCAGGGCTCATCCGGAAGGGCGATTCAGGCGATAACTTCGCCGTGTATATTCCAATTTCGCTCTCCCGATTGATCAAAGAGAAGTCAACATCGCCGATAAAATCTTAATTCCCAAATAGTAATAACTTAGCAATGTAAAGAGCAGAGATTGTATCCGCCCATATGACGACCGCTAATTATCATTATCCAATCAGAGCGTCGCTTTATACTACCCTTCTACCTGTAAGCAAAGCGATAGACCGCCTACTCTAAACAGTAAATAATGAGAGCATCGGCCCGAAACGGTATAATTGTGTGATAGTTTTGCGAGTTTAATACGGGATTTGGCGATAATTATAGATTGTTTTTTCCCGATTATCTAAACGCGTGCAATCTTCCCTAATTGATATACACGATGCACTTCGATGGTGGGTTTTTAACCCGAGTAAAGGCGATGTGCAATGGATTTTTCACGGCTATCACAAAACTGTCAGTCAATTAAAAATAATCAATTTCATTAATGTTCAGCGACAGGATTAAAAACTTAATCATAGTTTTGAATGATTTCAGTCTGTGAACATCAATTTTTACTGTAAAATTGTTATGTCGCTCACGTCATGGCTACAAGGCGAAATGTCGAAACCGAGCAACTTAATGATTGTGAATGATAGTTACACCTATGTAACATTTACGTTTTTTTTAACAAATACAAACTTTTTGTCTTAAGAGTGGACTTATTTAACCAGAGAAAAATTTGATTTGGTATAAAAGTGAAAAAAAAAATTTTTTCCATGGGTTGATGCATTATAATTAAATAATTTCATAATAAATATTAACAACAAAACAATAATTATACTATGTAGTTCAGAGTTTCTTTTGAATAACTATTTACTTTGGAAGTCTCTTGAACATTCAAAATATCAACAATGCTATTGTGAACATTGAATGACTAATTAATCTGTAAACATATCAATTGTGACGCGCTTTTGGACTCCAACTTTTTCAGGGTTGGGAGTCCATGGACTCCATGTTTTAAAGTCCTAGTGAGAACCCTGAATTAGTCACAAAAAAATTTGCTGTTTAAATTTTCACAAGCATTTGCTGAACTTTTTGATGATTTATTGCAAAGAAAAAAATCAACAGGAGTTAGTCTATCTAGTTTGTCATTGTTTCGGATTAGGTATAGTACCCTTTGCTAAAGTCAATGAACTGACATTAGACTGACACAAAATTTGTCAATTAACAAAAAGAACAACTTTACAGTGATTTTTTTAAAACTTTGGTAAAGGGTCTTATTGGAAAAAGAAGTGCAGTGTAATGCTAAAATTGAGATTTCTTTTTAAAAGTTAACACAATACCTTGTTTTATTTAATGTATCTTTACATTTTATATAATATTAATGAGAAAATGTTTGAAGTGGCATTATTAGCACCTTAGACATCAATAAACAATTCCTACAAAATGGTTTATAATTTTTCTTTAATTGGCAAATATGCTACAAATCTGTCATAACTAATAACCCAGCATGCCCACTCAATTTTAAATGTAGGGGTACATGTACCCCCTGTCATTGAAAATTGGGGGTACATTTCAAAATCTAGGGGTACACATAAGTTTAAACATGTTTTTGTTTGTAAGAACATTTTAGTCAACTTGATATAAATGAACAGCTGTTTCACTTAGTATTACTACCCAGTAACACAGACACAAACTCATCACTTAAGGTAACAATATAACAGCCATTACAATCACTGGTATTTTGTTTAGTCCATACGATTATTACCCACAACCAAAATTTTGTATATCCGAAATTATGTACATTTATTTCAAAATCTCAATTATTTATATTTTCATTTCATATGCTCAAAATTGAAGGTAGTTGTTAAAAAATCAAGTGACTAACTTTTTGCTGATAACTGGAGAACTCAAAATACTTTTAGGCAGTTGTAAATATCCAAAACTGTTTCGTTCTTTTTTTCTTAGGAAAGTACTTGTGACATCAAAACATGACTAAAATATTTATGTATCAGGCTGAGATGACTTTGAAAGCAGACATGTAATTGTGGCCAGGTTTAGTCTGTTCCTAACCATTGGTAGATGGCAACGACATTTAGTTAGGCTACCCAAAACATTCATTCTGACGATTATACTTTGCGTGCATGTACCCCCTGCTTACAATTTTTATGCGTGCATCTAGAATTTTGTGCATGAATTACGCATTGTAGTGCGTGAATGGGCATGCTGATAACCAATCAAATTTTTAAACAGATTAATACTGTCATAACTAATAACCAATCAAATTTTTAAACAGATTAATACTAAGTTGAAAATTTTAAATACATGTACCTAATTAATTTTGATAGGGACAGGTATATCCCACTAACCTCTGAAAGCTTATCTAGAGCTCTGTAAAATAAAATTTTCATTTTAGACTCCAAAATATAATGTTATTTAAACTTTTCTAGGGTCACAGTTTGTTTGACGCAAGACTTACTGCTAATTAGCCTAAGACTTTGTGTTAAAGTTGTTACATGTATCTTGCTACAACTTAGTACAAGCTGACAGTGCCGTGAATTATAATTTTAAATTTGTTGTTTCAGGCTGTTTGATGAAATCTTTAGCGAAAACGATATTAAAATATTTTTTAAAAAAACATGTATTTAAAAAACAACTATTATTAAACAATTAAAAAAGTACAACAGCAAAAATGTCATAATATTTCTGAGGGAAACAGACAAATTGTCACATAATTCAGCTATGCTGATTTTTATTTATTTTTTTTAATCAGGAGGATGCTTTCTCTTCTTCAAAGTTCTTTGGTCTGTAGTAATATTTATAACTTTCAGTTAATAAAAGAATCATAAGCACTTTTGATAATGTTTTGATTGGTGATGATGACATAAATTTGTCATCTAAACTCTAATTCATGCGTATTTTATATTCCCCTAAGAGCTGAATGGGCCTGTCTTTTTCTTGTTACCCATGTCCTTTGTGAAAGGTGAAAACTTAGAAAGGCTTTAGCTGATTAGACTCATGGTACAGGCTTCGCGAAACTGCTGAAAAATTTGCCTGACATTCGGTCAGACAAACTTTCAATTCTTGTCTGACCGAAAGAACTTTTGTCTGACCGAATTTTTTCCCCCAAATATATGTATATGGTAATACCTTGGTGTTTTTTTTTAAAGACATAACATCTTTTAAAGATTTGCAACACAATTTTATTCCCTTAAATAAAACATTAGTTTATCCAGATTGATGGACTCACAGGCGCTAGTCACATATTCAAATATTTTACATAACCAGTCTATATATGTATATAAAGATATATAGTAATTATAGCCCATATAAAACTTTAAAAAGTTTGTTTCAAGCACCTGTGGATGGACTCTGTTTGGAAATCAAAACATTAATTCATGATTGAAGCGGCCATTTTTCCATTTACCCACAAATCTTCTCTGCGGGCGCCTGGACTCGTATTCCTTTTGTTTCGCTTTTTTTTTCTTCATTGGATAGTTTACGATTTTTGCCGGGCGTAGCGCCAGCGTAATAATGTAGTAACACCGACATTTTGGTTATTGACAGTCGTATGTATCGGACACTTATAATTAAACGGCGAATCAAAACTCGTTTTACATTTTTTTATTCAAGGGAGAAAACTCGGTCTTGATCGGTCTTGGATATATCCCGGTATTCGTACCGGACATAAGGTCCGGAACTCCGAAAAAAAATATCGGACCGGCCTGATTTTTGCCGGACATGTCCGACGGTCCGGCAACTTTCGCGAAGCCTGATGGTAAAATAATTCAACTTAAATAAATCAAAAAACACTATTTACAAATAAAAGTGTTGTCTTTTTCTTTTGAGTATGGGTCAGACTCCCTTTAAAATGTGAAAGTTAGCACCATAATGCCATTATTTGTAACAAAAGTCCTATTCTATATAGCAGAAAGATTAAATAAAAATAATATATTTGTTTTTCTCCCCTTCCGCTACCTATCCAAAAAATCACAGCTACACAAAATATTTTATTGACGAACAAAGAAAAAAAATTTATTTTTTTTCAAAAATGAAAACACGAAGGCAGAGTGACAGAGTCTGCATAGAAAAGTCACATGTTTATATCTGTCTCATGTTTTTAAATTGTAAATATACAAACTAATTAAAATTTGATTCTAACTGTAAACAGATGCTAATCAGTCACTATTTGTTTTGAAATCCCTATAGATAACATAAGATAGAAAAATAGTTTCAAAATTTATTTATTTATTTTGGATTAAAAAAAAATAATATACCTAGCCACCTACCCTACCTAATTTGGCATGGGGAGGGGAGGGGAAAAAAAGATAATTTTAAGGCTGGCCTCATATAAACATATCACCAATGGTTTTTATTTTTAACACAGAGATATTACCAATATATATATATACTAATAATGTTACAGTTAACTACCTATAACAGTATCGCTTATAACTATATATATATATAGTATATGCCACTTATAACGATTCTGTTGCCACAGTCACGACCCCTGTTTTCAAATTGGTGGGAAGGGATGTAGCGAAACATATTCAGCTGTCCACTAGCAGAGTTTACTGTATTTGGTATTCTTACTTATAATGTTTGTCATATCTGTATTTAACCATACCGGATAGAAAAATATACCTACATCTTAAATAACTTCCCTAAAAACATCACAGTTTAACTTGAATTTTACTCTTTTCTTTAATATTATATTTATTAATATCAAAATTTGTATAAAAGTCAAACTCACAGGATGTGCTCCTGGTCTTGGAGCAATATTTATCTGCTGATTTGGTTGAGATGAAGCAATTCTAATTGGTGCATTTGGCATTCTATTTTGAATTCTAACACTTCCTGGTGGTCGCGGTGATGGTGAATTTGAAACATGTGTAGTCACTACTTGAGGTCTTACAGTTGTTATATGAGATGAAGGAACTTGTCCTCGCACAGTTATCACACTAGGATTAGTTCCAGGCTGAGTTATCATTGAAGTTACATTAGCACTATGAACAATATGCACATTGGTTTTTTGTGTCAACTGCTGAGAATTTGAATTTATTAAGTGTCCCTGACTGTTCCGCACTATTGTCTGACTTGGCTGCACAACACCAGTTTGTCCAGTTGTTATCTGTTGCGGAGCTGGAGAAAGTGAAGTCCGATTAACATGTTTTAATGCATTGTTATTTTGAATAACTGCAGAATTAGTTATAATAATATTGGAATTTGACTGCGCTACATTTATATTATTAACTGAAATAGCGTTTGATGGGGATGGCGTTGCACGATTCACATGTTGGTTGGTTACCACTGAATGATTTCCATGATTCTGTGGTGGTGTTATCACTTGAATGGCTGGAGATGAGGATTTGTTTACACTGTTCAATGGTTTTGGCGATGCAGTTCTATGCGAGTTTACAGGTGAATGTACAAGCGCAACAGGTGAATTTGTATGAATAGAATTAATTCCTAGTATTTGATTATCATTTTTTATCACCGATTTTGCATTAGAATTATTAGTATTTCCACTGTCATTAGATAAATGCACAGAGTTATTTTGAGCACTTGTGCATGCTGGAATTGAAGAGACGTTACTGACATGATTGCTGTTGACGGACGGATTTGGTAACGAAGGGGATGGTTCTTTATGTGTAGGGGATGCTAATCTCGACTCTAATGACGCAACAAGTGCGTTAACAACACTTTCATCTGTCTCTGAATGTAAAAATGAGTCTAGCGGGTTTGGATCCGCCATTTCCCTGCACAGAATTTTGTAAACTGAATTGAGCATGCGCATACAATAGGACTGTGGGAAGGAAAACGAATCAGCGCCATCTGACGGTGGAATACGCCATTTTGAACAGTTTATCAGAGAGAGAAGAACTGGGTCGAAGAGAAATCCGCTGACATCCTTCTTTACCTTGTAAGAAGGTTGTATGTAAGCCATGAGTGGGGGAATCCCATATCTCGGCAGTAAAATTAGCCTTATATCGAAGGCTGGAATACGTTATGAAGGCATTTTATACACCATTGATCCGAACGAATCTACAGTCGCTCTTGCTAAAGGTACTAAAATTAGCTGACCGCAAATATATAACTTTCTGGATTGAATACACTTTATGCAATTATATTTATATGCAATGACTTTTACAAATAGCCTTATCTTTCTTCTCAACATAGAAATTTGAACTTAAATGCCAAAATTACCGATAAAATTGTGCAATTACAAGATGTGAAAAAATGTAAACAAAGTGGTGTTAAATCTTTTGTTACATATTCTGCTTATAAGTATGTTGGGTTTGAATGACAATTTACTTACACCATTTGATATACATTGGTCTCTTACTGTTTGGTTAGTCTAAATAAAGACTTAACAAGCTGTTGCACTAAAATAGGCATCTGAGAACTGTTTTTCAAGGGGAGAACATAACCAATAATAAAGAAGTATGGTTGCCTCGAAAAAAAAAGTTGTTTTCAAAATTTCAGAAAATGTTGATAACACAGGAATTTGGAACATTTCTAAGCAGATTGTCTGCAAGCGTCAATTACTAATTATAATTCCAGTGTTCATATTTTTGATGATTTTCATAAACTGGTCAAAATGTGAAATTGAAGCCAATGAAGGAAAATGTTTGCTTTGCATTTATAGTGGAACCCCATTGTGTCGTGCTATGCATTGTATCGATCTATTTACAAATCTTTCGATTTTTTTGCAAAATGCACTAGCAACTGATTGCTAACATTTACAACAGTGTCACGAAAATCTTTCGCATTTGTTTTGTGCCGTAAAAATGGTCAAAAACATGTTTCCAGTACCGTCAGACTTTGTAGCTAGATAATAAAAAGACTTATAAATAGTGTGTTCTTATTAAAAACACATTTACTGTCTGTTGAAAGTTCCTAAATTTATGCTGACATTTTAAAACAGACATCTTTGATTCTAATTCAGACTAATTGACTGAAAAATATAGCATAAAGATGGGTCAGACTACCAAAACTTTGACTAACTGAGCGATTCTCACAATGCATCGATATAATGGCGTGACCTAATTCTTCAACCTGTTTGACATGTCTGTAAATAACCGTTTAATCCAAAGCTAAAAACTATATATCAGTGATGTTTGTCATGTAATATTTTAGTCCTAATTATAAGACCTATACGTAACCTATTTCATATTTATCATTCATTAATCTGATATTTTACATTTTTCATTTTCCATGTTACGTTAGGTCTTAACAGATCTTTGCAAAATCGTGTAGCAAAAAAATTGACATTAGACATCGATTTAGATCTAATGAATTTAAACAATTAAAACAGCAAGTATTTACATTAATTTTGACTTAGTTATGAACAAAACTAAAAAATGAATACCTTTTAACAAAATAATTGAACTGTCACATCCGAAAAGTCATTATTAAATCCTCTCATTAAATTAAATTCCTTGTACAGCCGATATACAAATGGCCGCCATAAAGTGCGCGAAATCTGATTGGCTAATTCAAATGCAAGCGTTTAAATGAGTCCAGAAGTTTCTAACGGAATATTTTTTCAACGAAATAATTGCCCATGCACCGTCAGTGTGTTCGAATAAATTTTTTCCGTTCAAAAAATTGGAATCAATCTGTAATACGCTTTACTTAACCAGTATGGCCGATGAGCGAAATAGACTGATATTTATATTTTATTTTTAATTGATAAGTACATTGTTTGAAAGTGTTTGTTAATGATAGACCATGCAATTGAAAGAACAGAAGATAAGCTTTTGAATAAACAAAAGAATACACGACTTACCGGAATCGGCCGAATTACTGGAATCGACCGGAATCGGCGGTGAATTACCGGAATCGACCTGTAACTTTGTAATAATTAAACTTTTTAAGTTTTTTCTTGCAATTTTATAAAATATAAACAATATCAATGATTTATGAAAAGATTTTTATAAATAAAATCGCTTTTGATTAATTTAACAAGAGATCTAATATCGGCGAGCTACTGCCAAACTGCCCGTGACATATATGTCCGGGGCCTGTTATTTCGTTGTTTATGCAACTTTTAATGTTCCTTTTGCATGTTTTTATAAAACCTAAATATTATCATTAATCTTCCTAGAGATTGTGAAAAAAATCGCTTTTAAATAATAATAATAATAAACAAATATTTATGATCAGCGAAAACGGGCAAACTGCCGGAATCGGCAAAGGATTACCGAAATCGGCCTGTAATTTGCTTATCTTTATACTTTAAACAAAATGTTTGCACCCTTGATATTAAATAAACAATAGCAATGATATGTAATCAGATTATTGTCAATAAAATCACTTTTTATTAATTAAACAAGATATTTAATATCGGCGAGTTACTGCCATACTGTCGGAATCGGCGAAGGATTACCGGAATCGACGTATAATTTAGTCTATTGTACATTTTTAACGTTTCTGTTGCAATGTTAATATTCGTCTTATAAAATATAAATATTATGAATGATATTTAAAAGTTTCTTTCATTCTTTTATTTTGTAAATTTCAATTCGCCTTTGGTTAATAAAGCAAGAGATCGAAGATCGGCGAGTTACATATACTGTCATACAGCCGAAATAGCCGAATGATTACCGGAATCGGCCTGTATTATTGTAATTTATGGACTTTGCAAGAAAAAAATGCAAACAATATAATAGATATCTAAAAAGATTTCTGTAAATGAAGAATCCTTATTAAGTAATAAGCTAGAGATCTATGGTCGGCGAATTACTGCCATATCGCATAATTATATGCAGTGCCAGGGCTATCGGACAATTACCGGAATCGGTCTGTTTTCCCCCACCAATATTTCAACGTTTAAAAAATAACCCTGACTTATTTCATTAAATACAAACAATTTAAAAGATTTTTTATAATGTTTATTGAAATCGGTATTAAATAAGAAGCAAAAGATTTATGAAAAATTGCTGTTATAAATAATAAAAAGATTAATATTGAAGATCGGCAAAAACGGGAAACCTGTCGGAATAGGCGATAGATTACCGGAATCGACCTGTAATTTGGTTATTTGTGATTTTTTTTTGAATATTTCTTTTGCATGTTTTTATAAGATATAAACATTTTCAACGATATTCATTTTTGTAAATAAATTCGCTTTTGATTAATAAAACAAGAGACCTAAGATCGGCGAATTACTGTCATTCTGCCGATATAGGGGAAGGATGGGCGGAATCAGCCTGTAATATAGTTATTTTTATGTTATTTTATTGAATGCAAATAATATCATTGATATACGAAGATTTTTTTGAGAAATAAAGATCACTTTTTTACTATAAACTAGATATCTGAGATAGACTAATTACTATCACAGTGCCTGAATTAACAGGTAAATACCGGAATTAGTCTGTTTTTTTTTTTGTTATATTTCAGCGTTTTAAAAATATCTTGCCATACAAACAATTCAAATGATATTTGAAAATATTTATTGCAATTGCTATTACATAATAAACAAGGTGATCTATGATTTCTTCCATACTACCGAAATCGACGAGCGATTACCGGAATCGGCTTCACTTCGTCTAGGATTACTGGAATCGGTTCTAATTTTGTTATGAATGTGAACTCAATATTATTATTATCATTTATTTTTGCATGTATTTACAAACATTATCATTGATCTTTTATGGAATAATGCAATATCGTCTTTACATTATATTTTTCAGGACATTGCTAACAGAGGATTGTTTGAAATGACGGATAACAATAGGTCAGTTTTGTCTTTCTTTATGTTTGCAAAACTCAATTCTTGATTTCATAAAGTAGTCGATTTATAATTACATGCAATAATATTTACATGAAATCAATGTTTTACCAGGCAGTTACTTGACAGTTCGTGGTCATTCTGGAGTATCAAATCAATTGTCGTCATTTGCGTTATTGGTGCACCATAAAAATATTACCAAGATTGCGAATAAGCCAATCGTTGAAACATAGATTATTTAGTCTTAAATAGTAAACAAATCATCTTCATACCCGTAAAGTATAAAACAGTGAGATATGGATGTTAACTATATACGCACAGATGATACTGTCACTTTATTGGAAGTAAACGAGCTGTATATTGGGAGCTGTGTATTGGGAAGCGTGATATACTACAAAACCGTGGGGTGCCAATATACGGTATGCTGATATATTTCATAGTGGGAGAGACTATCTGTCAGAGAATGCCTGTTGTTCAGCAAGCTGTAGATGAATTAAGTCATAGGATTTATTGAACTTCATAATTTTTAAAGACTTAAGATTTAGTCAATGTAAAAACAAAACAACAATATAAACACCCTGTATAGATCTAAAGATTCTTTTCAAAGTTTAGCATAATTTCTAACCGTTTGACCCATTTAATTATTAATAAAAAATGGAAGAAGATCCTTTAAAGTTAAGGACTATGATATATACATGTAGTAATCTAATGTCTCTGGCTTATGACACTGAATTAATAATGACATTTTCCGCGAACATCCCAAATAAACACACAATATTTTTTTAATGTGATGTATATATATTTTTTCATCTTTGATTAAATATAAACAATATCAATGATATGTAATCAGATTTTTGTAAATAAAATCTCATTGATAAATGATTAATTAAACAAAATATTTAATATCGGCGAGTTATTGCCATACTGTCGGAATCGGCGAAGGATTACCGAAATCGGCGTATAATTTGTTTATTAATGAAGATTTAAAAAAAAGGTTCTTGCATCTTTATACAATATCAATGAAATGTAAAAAAATGTAAATAAAATCGCTTTTGATTAATTTAACAAGAGATCTAATATCGGCGAGCTACTGCCAAACTACCCGAATAACAATCCTTCTGACAGTATGACAGTAAGTTCAGTAACTTGCTGATCTAGTTTAATTAATAAAGCGTGATTTTGTTTATAAAAATCTTTGTACATGTCATTCATATTGTTTGTATTTAATAATTCTTAAAAAGTTCATAAATGAAATTACTGGCCGATTCCGGTAATAATTCCCCGATTCCAGCAGTATGACAGCTGGGACATACGATATATCGTATGT